ATCCGCCAAGACACACTTGTCAATGTCAATGTCAATCAAAGTGTCAGCGAAAAGGTGGATTTCCTGTGGAAGCACCTATTGACTGTCAATTGTCATATTTTGAATGTGCTAGTCAAAAAGTTATCAATTACATTTATCTCTATACAATTATCTGCAAGAAATTGTTTACTATGCAAAGATTTTATTCACCGAAAAGCTTGATCTTTGAAACAATTTCAACGAGAGAATACGACGATATCTTGATAAATTTCAATCGAAATATTTACTTTATGTTTTATAAAGCTGAAACCGAGACGTTAGACGTTTTATTATTAGATCATCGGGATAACTACGAGAAAAGTGAAAAAGTACCGTGTGTTGAAGAGAATTTTCGATTCTGTAACCCGTCCAAGGTTCATCGTTTTAAAGGAAATGTCAAGAAAGTGAAAATTTTGGATATTGAAAATGCAAGCTACTCTGAGCTGAGTATTCAAAAAGCATATTTCGATTTCATTTCCGAGAAAACCATCTTCTCATTGATGCCCAAAATCTATTTATTGCTCGTGTTTTTGTTGAGGTTTTTTTTGACTGATCGATTAACTCGATATTTTGAAAGAAAGCTCAGAAATGTGGGAAATAACAAAGAAATTTTGTATCGAGTTTTCACCTCTTTTCTTTTTGCACTAATCGCTGCTGCAATCGATCTACTCATCTTTCTGTTTTTTCATTATCAACCAATGTACACCTTCATGACTTTCAGAGACTTTTTCGTGAATTTACCGACTTTCTTTGAAGGAAACGATCCACTTTGGTGGACTTTCATTTTTTCGTCTTTTTATACAATCACAATTTCTTTCACAATATTGCAAGAGAATGGAAATTTGATTATTGAAGAAGCTGTTGAAGTTAAAGAAGCTGTTGAAGTTAAAGAAGCTGTTGAAGTTAAAGAAGCTCTTGAAGTTAAAGAAGCTGTTGAAGTTAAAGAAGCTGTTGAAGTTAAAGAAGCTCTTGAAGTTAAAGAAGCTCTTGAAGTTAAAGAAGCTGTTGAAGTTGAAGAAGCCGTTGAAGTTAAAGAAGCTCTTGAAGTTAAAGAAGCTGTTGAAGTTAAAGAAGCTGTTGAAGTTAAAGAAGCTCTTGAAGTTAAAGAAGCTGTTGAAGTTAAAGAAGCTGTTGAAGTTAAAGAAGCCGTTGAAGTTAAAGAAGCTGTTGAAGTTAAAGAAGCTGTTGAAGTTAAAGAAGCTCTTGAAGTTAAAGAAGCTGTTGAAGTTAAAGAAGCTGTTGAAGTTGAAGAAGCCGTTGAAGTTAAAGAAGCTGTTGAAGTTAAAGAAGATCACCCTAGTGAGTCAACTGCTCTCAAAAATCCACCTCCAGTTCTACCTCGATTCAAAAAATTTGTGAAACAATTCTATATAGAAATCTTAATCGTTTTGATTTGTGCTGCTTATTTGTGCTATTTCTTCGCTTTGATATTTCTTTATTTTCTTTTTACTGCTGCATTATCTGGATTACACTGGCTTTTCTTAACACATTCGCGACACGATATTTTGGGCGTACAGTCGCGTAGTCGTTAACTGTTTTACTGATAGTTTGATGAAAATTGAAAGATAAACTAGACTATTATAGTCATTTGATACTCTTGAATCTCCTCTTGAAAACTAATATAAAGTTATCGAAAACTTTCTGCGAAATAAATAACAAAAGTCCTTAAAGGGAGGGTAACAATCGAGGTCAATTCAAATTTTTTCCGCCGATAACTATCAATTTGTTTTTATTTGATGCTTTGTATATCAAAAATGACAGAAACAAATCGCCTGATTAATTTCCTGCCAAATTCGGTAAACTTTTGTTGATGAACATCTCCTGCCAGACAGGTTTGAACGTGTCAACTGGTAAGCCACTCCCCTCCTCAACAAACAATCAATACTCAATCACATTCATCATCACTAAAATACATTTCCGCTAATCTATCGCTCATCAAGTTGATTTCATCATCATCATCAACAACAGAGTTACGGTTTTGAGAACTAATCGAAGTCTTTTTTTACTCTAAAGTTAAAGCCACGTTGCTTCCATTTTTCACTGATTGGTCCCATTTTTATCAAAACTTTATGAAATAAACATCGAGTTACGACTGTGAGGCAAGTTCCATTCCTTGCGCAATTCATTGTTCTCCTGGAATTTTCCCGCAAATATGGCAATGTTGTAGCAAAATGTGGCAATGTTGCAGCAATTGTAATAACTCGACAATGTCGTACATTTATCATCTTCAATAACTTCATCTTCGCTCGACCTAATCTCGAATGAAAAGTCCAAAAAAGAAATAATTCTAATTTTCTGCGAGGGGAGCGGCTTGCCAGGTGACACGTTTAAACCTGGCTGCCGCGGCAGGAGGTGCTCATCAATAAAAGTTCGTCGAATATGGCAGGAAATCAATAAGCCGATTTTTTTTCTGCTATCTTTGGTATATAAAGCACCAAAGACAGGTTGGGTTGAGTTTTGACCTGCCAAACCAATTTAAAACTATCTCAAAATTTAAATTCTCCATCTTTGAAAACCCGACATAGCGTCTTTTCAACTTTATCAATTTTTAGGTCACTGTGGGACACTGGTGGCCCACGTCGTACGAGACGGGAGTCTACTCGGGGGTCACCGACGGCCCACGTCGTCTCAGACGGGAGTCCACTCGGGGCTCACCGATGGCCCACGTCGTCCCAGACGGGAGTCCACGCGGGGGTCACCGATGGCCCACGTCGTCCCAGACAGGAGTCCACGCGGGGGTCACCGATGGCCCACGTCGTCCCAGACAGGAGTCCACGCGGGGGTCACCAATGGCCCACGTCGTCCCAGACAGGAGTCCACGCGGGGGTCACCGATGGCCCACGTCGTCGCCAATGTGTTAATGTTTTTAATCTCTGCTTACCTAAAGGACTTGGTTGGCAAGAAGATTTTTTCGCTTCATCCAAATTTTTCAACTAAAGCAGCTACCAAACTTTTGTATGGTTAAAATTAAAGATCAATATCTTAAACTAAAAACAGCGGCAGAACTTTTTATTTTGGCAAGTTTTGATAGGAGAAATGATTGAGGTTCAGTAGCGAATAAAATTTCATATTTTCCGAGTTCACGTTCTTTTGACTCGAAATTTGATCAAAACACCATCTATTCTTGAAAATTTTAAGTGAATTTTTATTATTATACCTACTGTTTTTTGCAAGCAATTTCAAGTCTAAAGGCCTTTTATTCCTCTTGGAATGAGTTTGATTGAAAGTTTGATTGAAAATACTCAAAAAAATTGACTTTCCTTGAAATAAATATTCTACTCCAGATAACTTCGATTCAAAAGCTCTAACAATCTAACATTTTATAATTTGCTAATAAATGCAAAGCGATTAGACTGCGCTTTCAGCCACTTTCTCAAAGAGAAAAAAAAGATTTAATCGTAAATATAGATTGCTTTTTGGCTTGTATTCTGTAAAATTTTAAAAAACGAAACTATTTGCCCCGTGAGTTTGTGTTTTCCTAAGTATGTTTAAACAGCCATTCAAATTTTCAAAAATTGTTCGTCCATTTGGATCAAATATTATTCAAAGCTTTAAGAATTTTCTGAAAAATGTTTGGCTTATTGATTTTTGGGGGTAGACTAATTTCCGCATTTTTTTTGCGCAACAGGGTCATTTGCGCAACTCGCCATAACTTTCTTCTAAGTCATCCAGTCTTTATGTTTTTGGTTTCGTTTTTTTGCACTTATTGAGATCTACAAAATGACACCAAAATCATAAAGATTGATACACGTAGAAAAAAGTTATGGCATCCTTTGCTGGGTCATTTGCGCAACTAGGTAGCTACTTTGCGCGACTACCTTTGCACAATTTGCCATAACTTTCTTCTAAGTCGGTCAATCTTTATGTTTTTGGTTTCATTTTGTAGATCTCAATAAGTGCAACATAATGAAACCAAAAACATAAAGATTGACCGACTTAGAAGAAAGTTATGGCGAGTTGCGCAAAGGTAGTCGCGCAAAGTAGCTACCTAGTTACGCAAATGACCCAGCAAGGACGCCATAACTTTTTTCTAAGTGTATCAATCTTTATGATTTTTGTGTCATTTTGTAGATCTCAATAAGTCCAACAAAACGAAACCAAAAGCATAAAGACTGGATGACTTAGAAGGAAGTTATGTCGAGCCAAACGACCTAGTCGTTTGCGCAACTCGCTATAACTTCCTTCTAAGTCATCCAATCTTTATGCTTTTGGTTTCATTCTGTTGCACTTATTGAGATCTACAAAATGAAACCAAAAACATAAAGATTGGCCGACGAGAAAGTTATGGCGTCCTTTGCTGGGTCATTTGCGCAACTAGGTAGCTACTTTGCACGGCTACCTTTGCGCAACTCGCTATAACTTCCTTCTAAGTCATCCAATCTTTATGCTTTTGATTTTATTTTGTTGCACTTATTGAGATCTACAAAATGAAACCAAAAACATAAAGATTGACGGACTTAGAAGAAAGTTATGGCGAGTTGCGCAAATGACCCTGTTGCGCAAAAAAAATTGCGGAAATTAGCCTACCCCGATTTTTGATTTCAGTTCAACTTTCTAAATCATTTTGATCTTGTTTCTCAATAAAACTTATCAAATTTTGAAGAGTTTTGGGATAAAATTAACACAGAATTGTATAATTTAATGTTTTTTTTTCTATAAAAGTAACAAAACTAAAAGATTTATTGCAAAAATTCTAGTGTTTCTAGCTATGTCGAAGATTTCGATACTTAATTGACGTTTAAAAAATGGTTTAAACGCTTTTTTTTGTTTGAAAAATCTCATAAAATCAAACGATTCACATGGCTTTTTTCAGGAAAAGCTCTTATTTTTCTATTTGTTCAAAAAAAGTCATTAAAATCCATTCTTCTATTCTCCTCTTTTATCCCGTTTTCCCGTTTTACACATTTATTGAGTTCCGGAATCACAATGCAAACGATTTTCGATGATTTTTAACGGAAAAGTGTTTCAAGCGTCTCTTTCAAATGATGTACACTAATATTTTCTGTTTTCTAGCCGGAGTTCTGCTTACATTTGGTAAATTTCCGGATTTATAGTGTCATCAAAGTCAAAATCGCTAATCTTGTTGTTAGCTTGTTAATTGAAACTACTAAAACTGAAGCTGCTATCAATCTTTAATGTACCGTATTTTCTCTAATAGTAGTGCACCACAGCAAGCCGAGTTAGTGACGATTTTACGATTTCAAAGTTTTCCCACAAGCTCAACCCTCTAATCCCCCACTAGATCTCATCGTCAGCTACATTTTCCGACCCCACATCGATAGGTTCTGACAAGTGGTTCTCGAGATTTCGAGCAATTTGGGCAACACTCAGGGTGCACTACTATTAGAGAGAATACGGTATTAAAATCTGAATTGGGCTGACTTTATAGAAACTAGACTAAGCAGACTAGCTTTAATATTGACTTGAGAAAGTAGGAACTAGACCAAGTTTAAGTTTGGCATCTGGCTTGACTTCAGTAATCACTAGCGACTAGCCGATGGTGATTGAATCATTAGCGGCTAGCCGATGGTGATTGAATCACTAGCGACTAGCCGATGGTGATTCAATCACTAGCGGCTCAAAATCACGAGCGGCTGCGACATATGCACATTTGGAAAAGCCATTAGCGTCTATCAGCTGCTAAAACCGGTTAATTAAAAGCAAGCTTAACAAGCAAAGCATTATAATAAACGGAATCAACGCTAATCCAGGTGCAATTTGTAGAGAAACAAAATTTTAGTGTTACTTCCTTTGTTCGACTCTCCAATTCAAAGCATCCGAGCCATCGTCCCATTAATTGTACAAGATTCTGCAAATTTCTCCGATGAGATTAATTTGGATTTCAAAGAAAATTCCGAAATTGCTCAACGAATTCACCAAGAACAGGTTTGAAAGGCAAACTGATTCTATCTTCTATTCTATTAAGACTCATAAAGGACTGAAATGCCCAACTCGAAGTTACTAGAGAGCTTGAACATTGAAGATTCAAGTTTAATCATCAAGAATTCAGTTACCGCAAAGAAAAACACTTTGGTCGGGGTTGAACGATGGACAAAAATGGACTCAGTTCTATGATCTCATCTCACTGGAAGCAATTTGCATAGGAAAAGTTCGAATTGGTGGAATGAATGATGGAGGGAAATGGGTGAGTTGACTTTGCCAAATACACGGTGCCACACTTCAGAGGGCCTAGATTGGCCAATATCAGGCCAATCGTTTTGATTCTTCTGGAGATAAATCTTAAGTATGTCTCCTGAAATGATGCCCATTATCTAATCGATTCAAGCTTTCAACTTTTTTATATATCCTTCCAAAGTTGAGAGCCGAGTCGCTCGGCGTGCTACTCATGGGATTTTCAAAGTTAGTTTCGTTTTTTTGATAAAAGTCTTTAAGATTTTAATGATTTTCAATTAATCATATTTATTTAAAAACTTTAAAAGCAATAGACCTTGAAAAAATAAGATTTTCTGTTCTTTACTGGCTACGCTAAATGTTCAAGTGAAAACAGACCATATTAAGCGAGTTTTGGTGACATTATTTAAGAATTTTTGCACTTAAACTGTGTAGAGCATGTGAAATTTTGTTTATTAACATAATAAATTCAATTTCAACGAGGTTTTTACAAGATCGCTCTCAAAACTCTCATAAATGAGTAGTGCGTTCAGCAAAAATAGGCTCTGAACTTTGGAAGAGTATATAAAAAAGTTGAAAGCTTGAATTGATTAGATAATGGGCATTGTTTCAGGAGACATACTTAAGATTTATTTACAGAAAAATCAAAACGATTGACCCAATTTTGACCAATCTAGACCCTCTGAAGTGCGGCGCTATAATCGTGGGCCACTCTTTAGTAAGGATCAGGAAGAAATCTGTCTCTAAACCAGTTCAGAAGGCTGGCTCAAGCTTGGAGAACCCTAGAGATCTTTCTAGATTTGTTCCCCGTGGAGATTGCCCGACAATTGTGTATTTTACTCGCTGGGCATCAATAACAATATTCAGTTCGAGGTGGGTTTAAAAATCAAGTAAACTTTGAAACATGGTATCGAACAATAAATGGCTAATTTCCAGGAATCTCTCCATCAACTCATCAACAAGAAATGGGATCTGATTGGAGTCGATCAGGTAAAATAAACAAACGAGTTGTGCGCCAGAATAGGTGTGGTTCTATGAGCGGTTAGTGCGGTTCTATGTTAGTGCGGTTCTATGAGCACAAAGGCCATCCTAAACTCAAAACAAAAATTGCACTTTTAGTTCACTCAATATGAGGCCACAAAAGCAAGATATATCCAAATAAATGGTAAACTATTTGTTGGAAAAATTGGCACCAAAGCGGTGAGCAAGCAAAAACTTTTGGAAAACGAAAACTTTCAGGAAAAGGAGTCAGTTGGAAGCAATGTAACACTCACTCTTGAAGAAGTCTACAAACTGAACAAACACACTAAAATAGATGTAAGTTAGTAGCTCGTATACTGACAAGGACCCCAACTTGAAGTTCGGAATCGCTTTGAGGAAAAATGTTTACAGATTCGTGATCTCCGATTCTATAAGTTCCCCATAGACTCGAAGCGATTCCAAAATTCAATTTTGGACATTCTCCTGTGAGAAAGGTTAAACCAGTGCAAAGTCAAGCCAGGGCTATGCTCTGTAACTGAACACAGTCAGGTCATTAAAGTACGATAGCTGTTTCACTGTGTTATGCCTGGATCCCTAGCTAAGCCTTTAAAAGTCGGAGTACTAGTAAAAGCTCTAGTTTAGCTGTAAAAGCTCTAGTTTAGCTGTAAAAGCTCTAGTTTAGCTGTAAAAGCTCTAGTTTAGCTACTCAAAATGGACATCGAGGGAGCGGAAAAAACGGTGCTTCCAGAGCTCTTAAACTTTGTCAAACCATGTCAAGTAGGTGAAGCAAAAAACCAAAAAAAATTTAATAGATTCTTGTTGAAACTCATGACAATAAGGTGGCTACAAGAACTCTACTTGCGCAAATCAGCAAGCAAGGCTATTGGCTGTACTCTTGGGAGGTTTGGCTTTTCTAAATTTCTAAATCTGGTTTTGAACGACAATTTCTCACTGTAGTAGGCCAAAAATTATAATTTTTTATGACTGAATATCTTTAAAATTGCTAACTAAAGCAGAAATGCTTAAAAATTGCTTGAAAATCTTAATCCGGTATGTCAAAAGAGATCAGGAGTTACAGTAATTACATGATTAAGTCTGCTAACAACAGGCATGTTTAAAAAATATTCAATTAGAAGATAAACTCTGGATCATAAAACTTTAGTACGACTAGAAAGGCCGTTAAGACAGAGACAGAGACAGAGACAGACCAGAGACAAGGCCCAGAGCAACCTTAAACTTAAACTTACTGGAAATTTCGGTTCTTTTCCAATATCGGGCGAGCGAAAGGAAAATCGGGGGAGCAAATTTTTGGCAGCGCTACATATGTCCGATATTATACAAACTACCGCCATAAAATCCGCGAATTACCCGTTATTCTCACAATTTTTATATTAGATCACAAAAGTGACTTAAATATCTAACACCCAGCGAAATATTAGGTTGATGCATAAGTCTTTTCGTTTTTTTCGTACTTCTGTTAAAAAGTAACAAATTCACCAATTAATCTATAGTTTGCTCTATAAAAAAAGTGTTTTTTTGTTCAATTTTCATCTTTTTAAATGAATTTCGGTTCACTTTGAAGCAAATTCGAGAGTGAAAAACGCCTTTTTCGTAAAAATCTATAAAAAACTCTACGGAAAAATTGGCTGAATGAATTTCTCTGAAATTTTGGCGAAATATCAAACTTTTTTTTCTCTATCTTTTATCTATTGACACGAAGATAGGTTTTCTTTAGCTAAGGTGTCTAAACCGCATCATCGAGTTAGCCCTTTTTGACTACCCGACTTCATACTCTCAAGAAAATCCAGGCATTAAATATTTTTAAACCCGTTTTAATGTTATTTTGCAGAAAAATAATTGGTTTTTCTAATGAAATCAACCGTAGTTTAATTGGTGCATTTGTTGGCTTGAAACGGCAGACGAAAAGGAACGAAAAAACTTATGCATCAACCTAATAGATCTTTTCCCTTTTGGGCGGACTTTCATCGATTCGCCACAATTGCAAATCCACGACTGGATGACTCCTTTGGTGACGAAATAATCGATTACCGTCGATTCCTTGAACGCACAAATATCGGAGAAGCGCATCGTCGTTAAAGTTTGAAAAAAAAACGCTGCAGTTAAAATATAGTCCCGGAAATGTCCCGGAAATGCATTTTTCGACGGGGCAAAATTTGCTCCCCCGATTTTCCTTTCGCTCCCCCGATAATCGGACCGCTCCCCCGATATTGGAAAAGTACCGAAATTTCAAAAGATATTAAATCAAACATTTAATAGGTTGACAAAGTGGTAGATTAATTGTTCAAGATTAGTGCAGAATAGAAAATAAATTATGGTGGAAATACTAGAAGATTAGAACATTCAATATATGAAATGAGAGATTTGGCATTCCAGGTCAACGAGGGAGATCTCCAAGCTTGTGAATACTCGTTTATTCATGAGAGCTGCGTTGAAAAATTTGGAGTTTGGCGATTGGCGAGATATTTATCTTAACAGTATCCTTATTATCTTATTGATTAGGCGACCGATTTTGCTTTTATCCTTATCAATTCAAAGCGGGTCTCAATTACTCAGCTATTCATTTACTTTTTAGCTCATTTCCCTTGTTCACTTTTGTTATTATCCAGTTTTGTGCTGAATAAGTCAAAGAATCAAAGCTATATTCAGACATAGAAGCACACAGCACAAACACAATTTTTCTAGTTGACTATTTGATAAGTTATAGTAGATAGACAATGAAGAATGATCAAGAATGATCAAGAATGATCAAGAATGATAAAGAATGATAAAGAATGATCAAGAATGATCAAGAATGATCAAGAATGATCAAGAATGATAAAGAATGATAAAGAATGATCAAGAATGATCAAGAATGATCAAGAATGATCAAGAATGCACCCAGAGAAAGTCTTTGATATCGTTTAGACAAGAATTTGGAAATTTGGATGAAAATCTAAATATTAAACGCAGATTTCCTTTTTTTTTTTAAGAAGAGAATTTCTTTTTTCGATCCTGCAGCACTTTGATCGCTCGCTTGCGGATCTCGGACTTGGAACGAATTTGGTATTTCAGACACGGTTTAACGATCTCTTTCATCACCTGGAAAATGCACAGTATGGATAAGCATAAAATTATGTATCAGGAAATCTAATAGAAAATTTTTATATAGTAAAAAGTAAGCTCATTATCTAGATTCTTTGCCTTTTTTAAAGTCCCCAGTTTCCTGCTTACAATTGCATACTGTTAGTTACAATATACCGACAGACCTCCTATTTTTACAGTCAGTATATGTAGTGATTAGGATATTCATTTTGTAAAGAAATACGGTATCCCGGTATACTGTAACGTGTGCACTTTATAGTGCTTTCTTTCTTTCTTTCCACTCACCTCTTTGTACTCGCCCTTGTCGATCTCTCTGTTGTAGTACCATTGGACAACGGTGGCTTTGGCCTCCTCGTGGATGTCTTGCTAAAAAACTTTTCTTGTATAATTCTGGTCTAATTTCTAGCTATTTAAAGTAATCAAAACTAGATTTCGACGCAATATTTGATACAGGAATCTGGTAAAAAGTCTGTAACTATTAGGTTGAGTACTATGTGTTAGTATCCCTTGCTCATTTAAGCAAGTTTTCTCCAAACAAACGTTGGATCGCTAAAAATAAAAAGTGTTAAGTGTTTAATTTTAGGTATTTTAAAACAAATTTTGACCTGATATGAGGCAAATTGGCAAGTGAATTCTCATTTATCTTAAGAGAAAGAGAAAGATAAGATAAAGATAGAGCAGAGCAAGATAAAGAAAACGGTGCAACAAATTTTTCTGAAAATTTGGCTATACTTCTAACTTTTTATGTTTTATCTTTTCTCTATTTACACCAAAATCGGTTTCTGTAGAAGAAAGGGAAATCGCATGTCTGGGTTAATCTTGACAACTCGCCTCTTGAAATTTCACAAAACACTTTTAAAACACTTGAGAAGCATTTTATAGAAAAAAAGATAGGACTTTTCAATAAAGCAAACCCTTTGTGTTTTTGTCAATTCACCGCTTCTAAAACAGTCAATGAAGATAGCATGCCAACACATAGTACTCTGTAGATAGATCAACTCAATAGATAAGACTTGGCTTCTGGATTCACCAGGCACTTTTCATGTATTAGACTAGTCTTGGCTTGCAATTGTTAATTTGTTTATAGATATAAATCTCAAAGCTCACTCTATATCGATCGGCAAAATCTTTCATTGATCGTTTCCTTTTCTGTGGCCGCGGTTCAGGGCTTGTCTGTGGTGGATCATCCGGAGGAGCCGTCCAGCCAATCATGTGCTCGATGGCTAAAATTGGTACTGTAAAGTTATATAAAAGGGTATTGTTATTGTTTTTATGTATTAAATCATTGCTACCTTGTCTGAATACAGCCGTTTTATCACTGAGCGATTGTCTTTGTGTCTCTTGGATTGGATCCTCTTTCTTCTCCTCTTCAACTTTCGACACCGTCGGCATTTCGTAGTCTAGCTAAATGAATATCACTAATTTAGTTAATTGAAAGATCATAAACTACTAGTTGATTGTAAATCTGACTTTTTAGATGTGCCATGAGCTAGTCTATCAGTGGTTTCAAAAATTTAGATCACCAAGTCATAGTGAAGGCTAATCAGGTAGAAAATTTAATATGTCAGAGCTAAAACTGTTCTTTATACAGCTTTTTATTGTATTAAGCGCATACTGTATAACATAAAACGTACGCTAGAGTTAAATGTTCAATTTTTTAAGCCATAGAACCCACATCACTTTCCGGACTAGGCGGCGACGGTGACGGAGCTGAGTGGGGTGAGTTCGTTGACTCGACACCAAAACCCAACTTCGACGCATGATTTAAGAGTTTTGTTTGCTCTTTGGACGTCGTTGGATCATTGTTTTCCTCAACCTAAATTGTTCAAAGCTAAATTTCAAAGCTTGAAATCAGTTTCACCTTCTCCTTTGAATCTTTGTCCTCTTCATCCATCTTTGCGTCTCCTTTTCCTTTCTGTGGTAACTAAAAATCTTTATGAGATAAAAAGCAAGTCAAATTCTATCTATAAACATTAAAATCAATAACCCACCGGTTTCCCAAAGATCGAGGGTGCCACTTCGAATTCCTCTTCTTCTGATGATGATTCATCGATCGTTTTCTTTCTCTTTGCCGTTTTCTCGCTCGCTTTCTCCGGTTCGTTTCCTAAAATTGATTTATTAGAACGGAAAATGTACAGCAAATGTTAGTTTATAAAGACTGTAAATGCAGCAAGTTAAGGTGTTTAAAAAAGGGTGAGATTTGGCTGGTTAATTACAATACAGCGTGTGTGAAAAGTTTTGACGGCATGCAAAGAAGGCCTATATCAAGATTGAAAAAAGCTAGAACAAAACGGATTTCATATTCGAAAAAACGAACTATTTTTACATGAGATAAGCTTTTTGTTTAGCACATTTCGGCTTCTTTTTTGAGCTTTATTCCAGTGACAACTCGGACCACTTTATTAAATTTTCCCGGTTTTCAAACTTCACTACAACTTTTTGAACCACTCGAAAATGGTTATTTCGAAACTAATTGTGCTGTATGAGGGCTCATTTTAAAAGGAAATGATTCGTCTTTCTAATAGACACAAAATCATGCATTTAAGCTTACCCCAAAAAATTTTAAGCCGTGAGATTCGGCAACCCACTCGGCGACCAAGAATATTTATCAAAAATCCCTATTTGCTCTTAATTGTGTAGCATGCCAAGCTTTCCCTGGGATTTGTTAGACACTGAAAACTATGCTTATGTGGAATAATATTTTTCGAATTCGAAATCCGTTTTGTTATAGCTTTTTTTCAATCTTGATATAAGCGGCCTTCTTTTCATGCCGTCAAAACTTTTCACGCACCCTGTATTACAAAGAAAACGTTTTTATATGTCAGTTATCCTACGAAAATTGAGCTATTGACTTTTAAAAAGAATTACTAATTATTAATTAATAAAAATAACTTTTAAACAAACTTTTCCGATCATCTTTTCGTGTGTCTTTCTCATCGCGTCCACGTCGAACTGGCTCATTTCGATCTCGAGGCTTTTCTGGACTTCGACGTCTAAAAGATCGATGAGTATAAAGTTCAGTAAAAAGATTCTACTGAGATATTTTACAATACTAATTGTGCAGTTTACTAATTATGTATGGCTGATTCAACTATTAAACTATGGATAAGAGGCAAGTAAAGTGGCTATTCAAAATTGAATTGTGTAAGACAGGCTTGATTTGCTAATTATTAGCTAATCGAAAAGTACAAGTCTTACTAATTATTAAAATTGAGCTTTCAAATCCAACCTCTCCCTGTCCCTTTGATCTCGATCCTTTGAATCTCTCAAATCTCTGCTCGTCTTCGAATCTCTTCTCTCTTCTTTGCTTCGCGGTCTCTCCTTTTCTCTTTCTTTTTCCCTCTCCTTGTCCTTTTCTTTCAACTTGTCTCTAAAATTAAATTTAAATCAAATTTTGCTTAAATTCAACCTTTTAGAGGTGTCCTCTTTCTCTCGGGATTCTCGTGGCTTTTCTCGATTTCGATTCGCGTCTCGGTCATCTTTTCGTGGCTCGCGATCTAAAAAAAGTGGATTAGACTATAATTGAAACAATTATATTCTATCACTGAATATAAAATTGAGTGTGCTAGAAAGAACGTGTTTCTAAGTCTGAGCACAAAGAACAAACAAGTCTAACTTCAATAACGAAAGTTTTTACCTTTCTCTCGACTTCCTACACTCTTTTCGTCTTTTCCATCGCGAAGCCGCCGTTTCGGGTCCTCGATTCGGAAAGCTAAAACTGTTTTGAAAAATGATTAATTAAAATATCTATCAATTTATATTTGCAAAAAATATATTCGAATCATTTCTGAATGAAATCTAATATTAAAAACATTCAAAAAGCTCTATAAACTCACAAAGTTTCCCCGAATTCTTCGCGGCCAACAGATCGAGCTCATTGTGGACAACTTTCCCTCGGGAACTCATTCAAATGAAATAGAAATGAATAATCAATAAGAATACTTGGAAAGATTATTTATGTTTTGCCAATGAGTGTTCCCTTTTTTCTTTTCCCGTTCTCCTCTCAGCATTCCCTTTTTCTCTGAATCGGAAAAGAAAGACTACGATAATTGGAGCGTGCCATAGGCGAAACAGATTCAAGAGAATTGATTCGAAAAAGCTCTCAAATGCAGATTAACAGTGCCTTTTTTTGTAATTGTAGTGTTCTTTTGCAATTCCAATAAATGAGGACAATTTATTCAGTCTAACGATATCAGAAGCAACAATAGAGAATAACTGAAGTTGAGAAGGATCAAGTTTCTATTTGAAAATCAAGAAAAACTAAACTAAAAGCATGCTAAACCTAAATTTCCCGAAGCTCCTCTTTGGTTCACTCAATTTTCGATTAAGTTCAAATCAAAGCTATCCAAGCGGACCACGTGGAGGAAGGAGAATGCCGCCCTTTTAGATTCCCACTGTTCTTTTGAAATCATTTTTTTATTTTAGCAGTGGGGATCCTGTCAAATAAAGTCAAATAAAACAAAGTCAAATAAACAAATGTCAAACAGAATCTTCTCTTGAAATTTTTTTCATATTTATTTTTGTTATTTTTTGTTGGGTGAGAAAGATCCTGCAATCAGAAAAAGCACAACGACAATAATTCTAATCTTTCTAAGCATGGATAATATAGAGGGTATAGAGGCAATTCAAGAACTAAACAAGAGATTTAACTCATTTCAAATTTAAAAGAAAGCCTATGATGACTACAGCCTTTTTAATTTGGGAGAAAGCTCTCTTGATGGCTCCAAGCCTGTTCGAGTTTGTGACAAAGCTGTTCGAATTTGTGATCATAACATGCTTGTGCTGGGTTGGTAACAAATAACTGTTGATTTTGCGAGCCGAATTCGACATTGATTTCAGAAAGCTTTCGAATTCGTGACAAAGCTGTTCGAATTTGTGATCATAACATGCTTGTGCTGGGTTGGTAACAAATAACTGTTGATTTTGCGAGCCGAATTCGACATTGATTTCAGAAAGCTTTTGAAGAGTTCGTTGAATAAATAGTTCGTTTGAAAAAGCTTTTTCAATCTTTGGCTTCAGGTCATTACTATTAATGGTGACCTTGAGCACTAAAGGTTCTTGGGAATTTTCTGCCGAATAGTTCATGATTTCTGCTAGTATTTCATGAATCTGCTTGTTAGCCTGCATAATTTTTTGGTCAAGTTCCTTTCTATTAGGTTGTTCGGATATAAACGAGCGTTTTAGTCGTTGACAAAATTTATCTTAAAAACAGAAACAACACAGTTTAATCTAAGATATATTCACCATTATTATTGATTACTTCTTGCCATCTTTTGCGCAAAGAATTGATGCCGCTCTTGAAAAACTCAGCCGGCTGTGACTCGAAAAACTTGGCGACCCAATTTTGGTCATCTTCACGGTTTTTGAATTTCTCATTGGCCAAAAAGCTTTGAATCGACCGGAATCAAAGGTAATCTGAGAGAGCCAAATCGGGAGCATACGGCGAATGTGGTAAAACCTCCCATCCTAGATTCTCTAGTTTTTGCTGAGTCATTTTTGCAACGTGAGGTCTAGCGTTGTTATGGATGAACTTTATCTTTGATGTGTCTACTCCTTAACGAATGAGAGCTTCATTGACCCGATCAAGTTGCTGTTTGTAGAGGTCTGATGCGACTGTTTGGCCGGGTTGTAGAAGCTCAAAATAAACAAGGCCCTTGTTATTCCACCATACTGAGAGCATGATCTTTTTTCCAGGAATGTCCGGTTTCACGGTCGGATTTGGCCGTTCTCCTGGTCCTAGCCATTTCCGTTTCCGAATAGTATTATCCACTTCTCATCTCCAGTAACGAGAGAATCAAAAAAGCCATGATATTTAGCGTGGCGGATGAGGATTCCGGCAATAGCGACCCGTGAAGCCTTGTTTGCACTGCTTAACTTGTGAGGAAGCCATTTCCCGCATCTGATCGTCTTTCCAAGGGCGTGGAGATGCTCATTAATGGTAGAATTTGAACATAGAAACTGTTGAGCAAGTTCGCGCGTCGTTTGACATGGATCTGGTTCGATTGCAGCCCTCAAAATAACGTTGTCTACCGCTTGAGGTTCATCAGGAGTGTTCATCATCCTCGAGACTTTCATCACCATTCCGAAAGCGTCGGAACCAGGCTGGGCATCGGCTTTCGGACAATACATCATTCCCAAATGCTTTGACCAAATCTCGATGGGATTCCGCGACTGTTTTGAAGTCGTAAAGTAGGCAGACGCGAACTTGATATTTGAAGTCGGTCATCTAAAGCCAGAAAAAAGCTCTTAAAAATAAGAAATTATCCGTTTTAAAAAATTCCAAATATGCACAAGATAACGTACTTTTAAATACAGAAAGACATGTTTTAAAAGCTTCTCTCACAACAAAAATTTTGGCAAACGATTGTTTATATCCGAACAACCTAATAGTTAATTCGTCAAGTTCATAACCGAACCTAACTTCCGTAATTTTATTGTTTTCATGGAAAAGAACAACGAGTCTAACATTATGAGGCTTCTTTTTGATGTAAAATTCTTTATAAAATTGGACGATCTTCTTCCATTTTTTCTTAACACGAAGCTTTACTTCTACTTTCTTTCTTGCTTGTCAATATTTCAGCCGATGCTCCTCGGGCATAATTTCTCGCTATGATTTCAGGATTTACGCTTGACTTTTTTTGATCTTTTGGCTTCCCGATCATATACCAGAAATCTTGAGTTTTAAAGCAATAAAAGCAAAAGTTTCCCGAGTTTTCGCAAAGTGAATAACGCAGCTTTTCGATTAACGAACTTTCGAGAAGGAAATCAATTTTTCCTAGAATCCAACCTTTCCGATAAAGTTCTGTCAAAGCCTCCAACGTATGAAACTTGTTCCACTTAGTGCTCACATTTTGCCAGTCCGTTTCGTCCAGTATCCTGCCTTTCAAAGCTTCTAGCTCAGTTGGGTTTTTGAGTGTGTCTTCTTGGTCTTCAGCAAAATTATAAACTTCCAGCGAATAACTGATCCCCGATAGACCTGAGGTTATAGTCATAGAATAGGAATATAAAGTTTGACTTGAAATGGTCATGCTTTCATGTGCAAGTTGCACAATAGTCAAATGGTTTCTTTATTTGCCTTATATGTGAGAGGAAAGGACTCTTATCACATTTTTCTTGCGGTATTTTGAATGTTTGTGACACACCCCAAAAAACGAACGTTTTCCGATAAAACATGGCAAAATTTAGGCACAAGACAATCATAAATAGAACCTTGGAACGATTCATTGTCGTTTTTTCATTCATTCCAGCCTTAAATATTGGGTTGGTGACTTGAAAGAAACTGCTGGCTATTGTCATTTGTGACAGTTTGGGGACTTTCTTCAAAAGAAACCCATTTTGGTGTCAATGGAAAAGTTGTAGAGAATCAAAAATCAAGCTTATATCCAAATTTTCAGAACGATTCAAAAACTGGTTTTCAAGAAATGCCAAATTTCACAAGACTTGCATTTTAAGCAAAACTACTAAGTGTATCTTTTTGGAAATTTGGCTATAAGCCTAATTTTTGATTCTCTACAACTTTTCTATTGACACCAAAATGGGTTTCTTTTCAAGAAAGTGCTTAAACTGGGACATCTCCAGCTCAAACTGGGACATGATTAATTGCTGAAGTGACTGGACAAGAATACAATTGAATAACAATTTAGGAATAACAATAACATTAACAATTAACATTTGAGTATTATAGTTTTATTTTTTACTACTGTTCTATTCATTTTACGTTCATTTAAAGGCTAGCAAAGAAACTATTCGTTCAGCGTTCCAAAAGTTCCAAGGTCGATCAAAATCCCAAATCTCTTTTTGTTTCACTAACTAAAAGGGTGAATAAAACATGGGAGTTAGCTCAAGAAAGAGAAAAAGATTTTATCTACTGACTATTAGAGGTTTAAAGGGAGTTCCCTTGAAAAAAAACAGAGATTCAAAACGAAATCCTTGCAAAAATGCGACTATTTTTAAGGCTAATCAACGTTTTCTCAATCGTTCAGAACAAATTTTGCTACGCTTATTCAATTTCTGAGCCAACATTCAACGCTTTGGACTCAATGAAACATGGGGTTGCTGCTGAGTTTTTGGAAAGGCTTTCCGTCTTTTCCACTGGGAACAATCATTTGTGGTATCAGCATTTTGGAGTGAGTTGTCATGGTTTTGCAAGACTTCAGATGCGATTACTAATTGCACTCACGAGCAGGGTCAACTAACTTAATTGTCAAGTAGCTCAAAAGATTAGTTGGCTAGGCTTAGGACTAATTTAGACTGGTCTAGTTTGGCCTATTCGGGTTTGATTCCCGGCCTGTGATTCAATGGTAGAATGTTTGCCTGTCGAATGGCGTAGAATGGCGTAGAGTGACGTAGAGTGACGTAGAGTGACGTAGAGTGATGTAGAGTAACGTAGAATGGCGTAGAATGGCGTAGAGTGACGTAGAATGGCGTAGAGTGACGTAGAATGGCGTAGAATGGCGTAGAGTGGCGTAGAATGGCGTAGAGCGGCGTAGAATGGTGTAGAATGGTGTAGAATGGCGTAGAATGGCGATCCGATTTCGTTTCCTGGTTTGCGTGTCGCGACTCGAGTCTACTTTCTGTGTAATTTCTAAGCTTTCAGAACAGAAGCAAGCTTTTGGCAAAATACAATTTATGACACGAGCTAACTGGCAAAACAAACAGATTTACAGAAAAATCTGAAGAAGGAGAGGGTTCAAAAAAGTGCAAAAAAGCACAAAAAAGCGGCTTATATTGCTGAAAAACCAGGCCAGACTACGGTAGCTTATCCACAGTTTAGCTGAAACTGAATAGCTTTTTGGTAAGAGTCGTCACAATCCTCAAGACAATTATAATCGTCACTAAGTCTACTAAACTGACAGTAGTCACTTCACTTACTAAATTCCGTAGCTATCTTATGTCAAAACTTTCAAAACCTTTACAGCTCACAATTCCTCATCTCTCTTCATATGAATCAGGTCAGGGCATTCAGCGGATACATCTCAAAGCAAAACGAGTGTATTCTGGTGATGAAAAGCATGCAATTTACCAGTTTCCACCTATACCACAACAGGTATTAACAATCTTTTAATCACCAAAACCAACCAAATCACCAAAACCAACCACCAAAACCAAAAATAGTTGCTGGAGTTGATTCTGGATGGATTTATGGAGCTAAATTTTGAGCAAACCATTGGAAACTTCTCAGAGCCGATTGAAATTCAAATTGAAAGACTTCAAGATCAAGTTTGTTTCAAAAAGTTATTGAATTTTAAAAAAAAAAGTTAGAAAATTATCTGCGAGTTGATGATTAATGAGCAAAAACAGCGCTACAATGGGATTTGTTATGTTGCAAAGAAGATATTAGGAGGAATTTTAAGGTAAACGTTCATTTATTTTTATTTTTACTCTCTCGAGAGATAGCGAGAAAATGATTTCGTTTCCAAATTTTGTACCTCAATTTTATTAGTTTTAAATTTCAGTCTTCAAAATCCTGGACTAAAATTGAGAACTGACGAATCATTGCAAAGTCCGGTAAGTGTCAAAAAGCTTAAGAAAATGAAAAAGGATCATTTAGGAATTGGTACTCAATTTGCGAGTTCGACGAAAAAACGAGATTGAGTGTCAACGAGAGAACGATTACTCGGTAATTTTACTGTATTTTTTTTCATTGTCTTCCATGACAGTCTAATATTATTTTTCTACAACTTTATAGTCTAGAGTTGCGTACTCGATCACTTTCTTTTGCCTACTGGTCTCTTGCCTGGGATTATTGCTCCGAAATTTGTGAACATGACCTTCTGTAGACCGCGGAACATGGTTGGTTAATTGGAGAAAATCCTTAAACAATATTGAGCTTGGGAGAATGGAGTTTCATTTCTAAAACTTCTAGCAAACCTCGTGAAATGAAACGCGTTTGATATCAGTGGAAAGCTTACCGTAAATACTGTAATAGTACCCCATCCCCATAATGACGGTACGGAGTGTTGCGTAGTCGAGCTTTGAACGAGTTTTTCTCGACACTGGTTTATGCTACAATGCGCGCTCGGGTATCAAAAAATAGCTGAAATTCAGGGCTATTTTTTCATACCAAAGACGCATTTTTTGAAAGTACGGACGCTTTGAAAAAAATGAAATACTAAAAAACTTGTAAAAAACTAAACTACGCGACTGTACGAGGGGGGTGGGGTACTATTACAATATTTACGGTAGCTAAAAAGGTGTAACTTTTCTACAAAATTACATTTAAGAGTGAACTCAAAAAATGAAAGAAAATAAATTAAAAAATATCTTCAATAATATTGTACTCTTCTTCTGTCATCAATCCGGCTTTCACCAAATCAATCACGGTTGGGAAACGATGAAAAAGCTTTGGGAAAACGTCTCTCCTGCAAATTATTGTTAGCCAAAAGTTTTACTTTCATTATTTCTATATTATTGGATTTGGGAGAATGAAATGGCGTCGAAAATCAAAGAAAACTCTAGAAACTCTTCTAAAACTTTTAGCAAACTTCTTCAAATGATACGCGTTTGATATCAGTAGAAAGATTAACTAATTCTCTACAAAATGACATTTAAAAGAAAATTCAAACAACGCCTCCGCTCAAGAAAAAGCCATTTTTTTACAAAAACTACAAACTGCCATCTAGAGAAAACGGTTGGAGGGATTTCCCTGAAAATTTGGGAACCGATGTAATTGAGTGTGCTCTTTCTTTTTTATTTATACACCAAAGAAGGTTTATGTGGAAGAAACTGTTCAAATGATGAGTCGAACTCTTTGCCATTTTGACTAGCTTTGTTTGAAAGTCCTTAAACTCAACAAAAGAAAAGCTTTGTGCAATCTTTCAAAATTCCATTTTGTAGAGAAATAGTGGATCCTTTTGATGCAACAAAAATCTATATTTAAAGAAGGCTTTATGCATCAAAAAGTCTCTTTAAAGTTCGACACGATTTCATTCTCCTTAACCCAATAATTTCCTAGAGCTACTGAAAAGTAATCAATCTTTCTATGAGTCTTTTACAAGAATATTTGATGCAGAAACCGTTTGAGATGGTATAAAAAAAAGGTATAAACAGAAGCTTTAAGATTCAACACAATAAAAGATAGCCAGCATCGTCAAGTCAAGTGTTTTGCCTTGTTGGGAGCAAATTAAAACGCAATTAAAGCAAATTTTAAATGAAAACCAGATTGACTTGAGTTTGTTTTGAGAGTTTTTGATTAAAAAAAGCTTCTACTCTTTTTTTAGCACTTAAATCAACACTCGACTTTCCGAAAAACTTGTCTCCCTGCAGAGCGTCACGCGGTACCAATTCTGATCATGAAAGAGGGGAAAGTATTCCCGGAAATCGCTCAAAAACTATTGTATTCGGTTAAAAGTTGTCATTGTCGTCTGATTCAATAAACTGTTCAATAAATAAATACAATAAACACAATTGCTTTACAGTTACTGTACCAAAATTTACATATAACAATTTACATTGGAAAAATTAGCACTCAAACGAGCAACAAACCCTACCTCGATCAATTCATTTCATCTTTTACTTCTGTTATCATTTTTGAGTTCATTTTATTTACAAACGGAAGAGTTTTTGAGGTTTATTACCATTCTTGAGTTGTTACAGGAATCCCATTGAAATTTTTTGCTTTTAGATGGCACTTTTCTCTGCATGGCCTCAAACTTCTGGTCTACAGAATTGCCGAAACGAACCCGAGTGTCAGGTAAAGATTATCGTTTTGTCTTTTGTTTTTTCTTACAGGTTTCTTCCAATATTGTAAGGGTAAAAAAATCTGATCATGAAAGAGGGAAAAGTATTCCCGGAAATCGCTCAAAAACTCTTGTATTCAGTTAAAAGTTGTCATTGTCGTCTGCTTCAATAAACTGTTACAGATCACAACTGCTTTACAGTTACTGTACCAAAATTTACATCAAATAATTTGCACTTGAAAAATTAGCATTTAAACGAGCAACAAACCCTTCCTCGCTCAATTCATTTCATCTTTTACTTCTGTTATCATTTTTGAGTTCATTTTATTTACAAACGTAAGAGTTTTTGAGGTTTATTACCATTCTTGAGTTGTTACAGGAATCCCATTGAAATTTTTTGCTTTTAGATGGCACTTTTCTCTGCATGGCCTCAAACTTCTGGTCTACAGAATTGCCGAAACGAGCCCGAGTGTCAGGTAAAGATTATCGTTTTGTCTTTTGTTTTGTCTTACAGTTTTCTTCTAATCTTGTAAGGGTAAAGAAACTAAGATCCTATTGCTTCAATACTACTAAAGAGCAAGCTGCTCTTTACAAGCTCAATCCAGCTTCAATACAACCCAAAACTAGTTTTGTTTTTGAGACTACTATAGCCTCAAGTAGTACTTTATCCAATGAATCAACTTTAACATTTAGATTGAACTGTTTTTCGACTGAATTCTAACTTAAGCCTTATACAAAACACTGTAGTTCCATAAAGTACATTAGTCTTCATTGTTTCAAGCCATTCTATAAAAGCCAGCTTACTTTATTTAACGGATACAGTAAACTAATTATCAAATGAATACAATAATATAAAAGTTTAGTGACTTACAGAGATTTCTTTCTTTTATATATCCTATTTTCAGTTGACAATCACTCCGGAGAAGCTGGAGTTCTTTTGTATTCCGGTGGGAAAGCCAATTCACCTCGATGTCACCCTCACAAATCCCACTTCCGAGAATCAAACGTATAAGGTATTTGTGATTTTTGTACTTTTTTATCTTCTAGATCATTTTCTTGTTATTTGATTCATTTTCTAGGTGAAATGCACATCGAATGAGGTGTTCCGAGTGACGTCACCCTATGGAATCCTCGCTTCCAAAGCGTCATTCAAAATTCGATTCTACTTCCAGGTTTGGGTATTTTAAAGTTCTTTTTAATGTGTTTTGTCTAATCTAAGCTTTACCTAAGTTATTGTAGCTTGAAAGTTACAGTATTCTTGTATTATTACAGAATGCCTAACAAAAGTAATCAGAATAATCAAAATGAAAATAATCAGAACAAATCAGATCTTTCGGATCAAAATAATCAGACCAAAAGACATCTTATCTAGCTGAATACCTTTATCCTGTAATACTGTAGCTTTTAAATTAAAGAAACTTTTAATTTTCTTTGTCCTTTAGAATAAATCAATTCCGGATCCGACCAAAGTTTGCCACTATTTCGCCATCTATCACATGAAATGCCCGCCCACAACAGTCCAAACAAAGGTTTGATTTGAAGTGGTTTTAAAAGTTACAACACAAAACTAGCTTTGTTTTGTGAAACTAGATTTCAAACGTACTACTATAGCCTCAAGTAGTACTGTATCCAATGAATCAATTTCAACATTTAAATTGAACCGGTTTTCGACTGAATTCTAACTTAAGTTTTATACGAAACACTGTAGTTTCATAAAGTAAATTAGTCTTCATTGTTGCAAGCCATTCTATACAAACCAGCTTCAAATCAAACAAAGGTTTGATTTGAAGTAGTTTTAAAAGTTAAAACAATACTTAAATCAAAGTAATACAATACGTATTACTAAGTTATAATACTTTATTTCTTGATTTGAGACGAATCAATTCTCAATTCAGGTTAGAGAGTTATGGGCGGGAAAAGAAACGAAACCGGATGGAGTGAAGCGACTTCCCGTCACTTTTTTCAACAAATAAGACTCGATGGGATTTAGAAATAAAAACGATTTGATTTCAGGTGTTTTTAAGATCCTTTTCATTGGTATTCGCTTGCTTTGCTGTTTTGAAAATAAACGATTTAAGGATTTAAGGAAACTCTTGAAGACATGTTGAGTCTTGGTGTAACTTTAAAAGCTGACCAACTGATTAGCTTCCTATTTGAGTGTATTTTGAGCTCATCTGTAAACGTACACCTTTTGAACTTTACATTTTCTTGAAGCAATGATTTGATATCAAGGAAATGAGAGAATCGACTACGCCGGAAAGATTCCGTTTCTGTTTTTTGATTCAAAGTACACTCTAGCTACTTGCCTAGCTACTTGCCTAGCTACTTGCCTAGCTACTTACCTAGCTACTTGCCTAGCTACTTACCTAGCTACTTACCACTTACCGTTTAAATCAAAAGGCTTATTATCAAAATCGAGTATGCCAGAAAGATTCCGTTTCAGTTTTTCGATTCAATATACACTCTAAGAAATCAAATGAAAATTCAAAATGACAACTTTATCCAATTAAGAATTCGGATGACCTTTCCAATGACTCAAGAAATAAATCAGATTGGTAAGATTGGCTCCTTGAAAGAGCAAATGCGCACCAAAAGCACGAGAAAACACATACTGCTCCAGTTTCGCCAATAGACCTGGTCTAAAAGTTTTGAAATTTAATAGCTATGACTTTTTGAAGAAATCTTTCTTCTTTAAAGCTTACTTTGGTTTCCGATAGACTTGCTGACAACCATTTGAGATTAAAACCACCATGATACAGCCGAGTGAAATGAGGATCGTGCAAATGATCACGTACCAACCTGAATGATTTTAACGTTAAGGTTTCAAGTAAAATAATACAAGTACATTAAGGATTTAGCTAAATATTCAATTTACTAGTTTTTTTTACGTGAAAACTAACCTAATAGTGGGAAATTTGCATTTTTGTGGATCTGCTGTGAGGCCAGATCAAGCAGCACTGTCATCGCCATCATGCTCGCCAAACCAAGACTCATCTGTATTTGAAAAGTCAAGGATTTAGTGTAAAGTTTAGTGTTTTACGCTTGTTTTACGCTTTTACGCAAACTGAATCAAAATATCCGGACTTTTGTAAGCTTTTAGTTTCAAGAAGTTTCTAAATTAAGTGGATGCAGCATAATTGCTGATCCAAGTTAGAAAAACCGATTTTTCTGCAGTTCGACACTTCCGATTTCTCGACAACGAGGGTCTAGAACCAAAAACGAAGGGATAAGTTTTATTCTAGAGACTCTCACGAACATTTTGATACCAAAATCATCAAATTTGCTTTCAATCAAATCAAATCAAATCAAATACAGCATTTACGGTCTTTTCTAATGTTGATGTTTGTTTGTTGCTGGTGTTTTGATCACCAATCAACCCAACAGCGGTTTTTCTCTCTTTCCTACAAAGTTTAGTGTTTTACGCTTGTTTCAAACTGAATAAAAATATCCGGACTTTTGTAAGCTTTTAGTTTCAAGAAGTTTCTAAATTAAGTGAATGCAGCATAATTGCTGATCCAAGTTAGAAAAACCGATTTTTCTAAAAAACTTTTCATAAGAACTGTGATGTATTATATACTATTTGAAAGCTCTCATTCTCAGCTATATTAGCTAATAAAGAGTTTTTTGATTGGAAAAACTTTCGGATCTTTAAAGCGACTCGAAAGGCGCGCATCGCAAACACCCCTCTGCGCGCTATTTTCTTGGTGTTCTAGATTAGAATCTTTTCTGAAAAATCCTTTCTCAATGGCAAATTTGTGCATAGTTTATTTATTTCAATAGTTTTCCATGATATTAATAGGTTAAAAATGTTTTGATCACTAATTTTTGAAGCCCCAACAGCGGCTTTTATCTCTTTCCCACAAAATGAGTGTCTTGGCGTAGAGCGGGAGACTTTTTTGAGCTAGAAGTCGCCTCTATTCCGTCAAGCTTGCTTTATTCTGAACTAATAGACTCGTTAAAACTTTATTCAACTAAAAACAACCTTTTTTGAAACTATCTTTGCCTAGTAAACCAAGAAAAATGGTAGCGGGCCGACGTTTTACCGTGCGCTCCCGAATCGCTTTAAAGATTCTAAAGCTTTTCCAATTAAAAAACTCTTTGTGAGCTAATATAGCTAAGAATTGGAGCTTTCAAATAGCATATAATACACAACATTTCTTGTGAAAGGTTTTTCTAAAGACTTGGGTTAGTAATCATGCTGCACCCTGCAAAGTTCAGTCGGCTGCTACTTCGTTGGGAACGCGAGAAACGCTACTTTTACTTCTTTATCTTGAAGAAGTTGATATGTTAATTTTGGACCAATTACCGAAACGCAATTAGCCAAGATTTACAGGCAGTCAATATTCAGAGAAAAGTTGCAAAAGTACCGGATAAACACTTGAAAAAACAGAAACCAGAAATTCTACTCTTTCCATCAGCTTCTTTTTAGATATTTTTGCTTTTCCAAATTGATTTTTTAGACATTTTTCTCATAAATGATAAAATTAGCTCATTCAATTTACTAAAGAACGAAACTTGTAGCTAGCTTTGACCCACCTTTCCTAGCTTGTCTTCTTTCACCCGTGAACTCCAGAACATCCCAAAATTCGATAGTGTTGTCAGTAGAAAACACGGCAGAACAATCACAAAAACATAAAAAAGAGGCTCACGGTGCAGTCTTAGCTGGAAGCCGGCCTGAAATTTGGAAAATCTTATAAAAAATCCCTTGCAACTACCAGAGACAATGTTGGTACTTCGACAGTGTAATTGTTGGTGAGACTGATGATACACCATTCACCATTACCCTGAAAGTTTTATTGGTAAATAAAAAAGGCTCAATTCGACTTCTAGAACTGATGGATCCATCACTTCGGAAACTTTCGTGGAAAGGTTGAAGCCTTGTTTAGTGAGCGAGTACGTTTGGAAACCGATACCGCAACTTTGAACATCAAAAGGGAAATTCCACATCTAAAGCCTCGATTTTAAAATCGCTTTTCTTTTTGGAATCAATTTTTGTCTTAAATTTGGCTTTATTTGGCTTTATTTGTCTTAAATTTGGCTTTTTAGAAAGTCTTTTCTTTCCTTTTTCGTATTTCCTTTTGAAAAATAACAAATTTACTAATTAACCTATGATTTTCTCTAAAGAAAAAATGTTTATTGTTTCATTTCCCATCTTTTTAAGTCAATTTCGGTTCACTTACGAGCAAATTTCAAGAGAAAACACGTGTTTTTCGCAAAAAATCTAGAACAACCTCTAGGAAGAAATTGGCTAAATGAATTTCTCTGAAAATTTAGCTATATACCAAACTTTTTGTGCTCTATCTTTTGTCTATTGACATCAAGATAGGTTCCCTTGACTAAAGTGTCTAAACTGCACCATCGAGCCGTCACCCTTTTTGATTACCCGACTTATGACTAAAAAGTCATCAATATAGTTCCTGGGTTGACCCCGAATCGGCCTCAAATTGGCCCTGAATCGGCTTCAAATCGGCCTCGAACCGGCCTCGAATCGGCCTCAAATCAACCCCGAATCGGCCTTGAATCGACCTCGAATCGGCCACGAATCTGCTTCGAATCCACCCCGAATCGATTCCGAATCAACCCCGAATCGGCCTCGAAAGTGTTGCAAGTCATGGATAAGACTCAAATTCATCAATATAGTCTTTTTAATCATGAATCGGGTAGTCAATATACGCTATCAACATACGCTTCCAAAAAAACCATACATAAGCCATTTAAAACCCGTTTTAATGCTATTTTGCAGAAAAATAATTGGCCTTTCTAATGAAACAAACAGTAGTTCAATTGGTTGATTTGTTGGCTTTAAACGAAAGTATGAAAAGGAACAAAAAGACTTTTTGAAAAGCCTAATATTTTTGCTAAAAATTCAACATTCTACGATCTGTCGATGTGATTTGCGAGTTTTGTTTCATTTTCTCAGAATTGGCTACTCCAATCAGGTAAGATTGGCTAAAGGGTAAACAAAGGGTACTATTTTCATATTCTTGTGGAATACTATAGCTCTAGTTTTCTAGCAAAGTAGCTAATGAAAGGATACTGTAGCTATAGTAACTATAGTCGGACAAATGATTGATGAAAGGAGTACTGTAGCTATATTCTTGTGGGGTACTGTAGTTCAGAAATGAGGCAGGTAAAAATCCTACCATAAAATCCTTAACTCACATTGAGTTTACAAGAAAACTTCATGAAAATTGTCGTTTCATAGTAGACGGTTCCATTATTGTAAAGGCGCGCAAATCGTTGCGCGTCGGGTGCAAGAAGTTCGAATTCTTGTCTAAAAACAATTCTCTTAAATGGTTTACAAAACACGAACGAATCCGAGGCACTGTATTCTGGAATCCAAAGTATTCCGGAGTTCACGAAAAGCACGTTCACTCCGTTGTAATCTTCGGGATCCCAACGAAGACGCAGATCGGACCAATGCTGAAAAAAAGTTGTCATAATTGATCTTTTTCCATCAATTCAATTCGAGCAAGCAAGTCGAGCTACCGTCTATCAAACAATTGCACGGCTTAAAGCATTGGGAAACAATACAGGGTGCGTCATAATTATTGCAACAAGATACTCAAGGCATTGCACACCAAGAAGTTTCACTGGAAGAAGATTTTTAAACAAAAAATAGCTTTATTTAACAGTAACAAATAAGGAAACAAGAGATCATTCGATATGACCGCCTTTTGCCTTGATAACAGCCCTTAATTGGTTCGGATATGCCTCCACTGCGGCCCGAATGTCATCTTGAGGAATCACCTTCCATCCTTTAGTCAAAGACTTCTTCAAAGAATCCAAACTTGTGTGTTTTCGAGAGCAGACATTAGCCTCTAAGATTGCCCAAATGGAAAAGTCCATCACATTGAGATCCGGTGAGTTTGAAGGCCATTCATCCTTGATGATCACTGAGGGAAAGTTGGCCACACACCAGTCCTGAACCGTCTTCTTCGTGTGAGCGGGAGCTCCATCTTGCATGAAGGTCCAATTTTGATTGTTATTGGCTTTACACGCCCATGACACCCCCGTTTTCCTGTTTGGAAAACGGTCTTTGAACTCTTGTTGCAATAATTATGACGCACCCTGTATAAGCAATTAAAGCATAAAGGGATCGATTGGGCCGTGGACGGAAGAGACTTACTTCTCATTCGTTTAAAAAAACTTACATTTATAATCTCCAACACAAGACTGACTTGTTGTGTCTCGGAATCCTAAATTCTTCACTTTCTTTAACTAAATTTCTTTAACTTACAATCTCAATAAGTCTCATATAAGACAATTCCAGTAACAAATGAACAGGAATATCTGAAATTGAATTGTAAACTTTTTAAAGTAGATGTTTAACTTATTCTCCCAAAAATCGGTGCCATATCCTTTTTGTAGTCGGCATCGTCGAAAAGCTTCTTGTAAAGCTTTTGCGTGGCGTTGAAGTAGAGATCGAATTCTGGGAATTGCAAAAATTACTGCGACTGAAGCAGTTCCAAGGGGGAAATTTGACTTTCTCAGCTGTTCCAGAGCTATATTGGCCTTGGATTTTGACTAGGGAAAGGTACCGGATCAAGGTGGCCTTTTACTAACAGAGCCACACTTTTACTAAGCTTTTACTTTTACTTTTACTATGAAACCAACCATAAGTTGATTCAGCTTCTATACCTCGAGTTATAGACCATCTAAGTTGATCGACTTTTTCGGGTAGGTAGTCCAACTTTGACACAAATTTTCTCTATGTTCTTACACTAGAGTATACAAAATAAATTGTACTTTTCTATGACCTTTCTCTTTTCTTTTTCTCTCTTGCGGAGCTAGTGGCGGAGTGGATAGTGTGCTAGCTTCCAGAACGATCGGATAAAAGAGCCATATCGGCTATGCTGATTCTGAATATGCTTTTACTTTTTTTAAAGAAGCTCTATAACGCGAGATATCTGGCATTAAAGTTTAGTCGATTTTCAGAGTCCTTAAGCTTTTCTCTCTTCCTTATAAGCTTTCCTTTCCCTTTTCTTTTTCTCTCTTGCGGAGCTAGTGGCGCAGTGGATAGTGTGCTAGCTTCCAGAACGGTTCAAAGCTTTTTGCCCGGGTTCGAGTTTCGGGAGAGCTAGAGCCTGGAGTGCGGCGACCGCTCATAAAGACAGCTACTATTGGATACTGGCGTTGAACCACGTTTCATGGGGAGGAAAAATTGTGAGTTCTTAGAGTCAATAAATCAATAAATCAATCCAGATTTTATAAACATTATGTCATCACGATTTTAGTCACAATTTTCCAATCACTAATCACGATCACGATTCTATAAAGCCTCGTGGCTCTCTTATTAAAAGCCACCTTGATCTGGTGCCTTGTCTTGCCAGTTTTACCTGGCCTAGCCTAGTCTGGTTTGATTAAAAGTTACATCAAAGTTGATTCATTCAAAACTCAGACTCAGAAACTAGACTTGGACATGGATCCAGTAGAGCTCTAACCTACTCTTGACCGTTTTGATCTAGCTTACAAGTCATAAGGTCCGGCTGGACACCAGAGTCTACTGTAAGTAAAGGATATCCTAGGCAAATCCAATTCTATTCAATTACCATTTCCGCTCACCTTCAAGAAAATCCTGATCATACGTGATATTTTGCGAAGCGACAATGATTATAAATGAGAGGAAAAGCAATAGTTTCATATGGATCAAAAATTTTCAGATAAAGTTTAAAAAGAATTTGAATTCCCAACCAAATAACTTCCCGTCTCGGTCAAACATTCAGCGAAATTCGATCCTCGCCTTTCCTTTTTGCTTAAAAGAAGCTCTTTTTTGGCTCTTGTGAAGTAGGTTATCAAATAGAAATAGAAAAAATAAGATGAATTCTAAAAATTGCATTCTGAATTTACAATGACGTTCATAAAATAAATGAGATAAGTTTGGAAACAAGGAAATTGTTGGTTTCGTTGTAATTTCTTGAGTTTTGTCATTGAGATCTGAGAAAATTTGTGCTCAAAATTGTAATCTATTGGGTTGGGGAGAATGAGTCGGCGCCGAAAATGAAAAAATGTCTAAAACTTCTATTCGACTTCGTCAAATAATATGCGTTTGATATGAGTAGAATGGTTAACTAATTCTCTACAAAATCACATTTAAAAGAAAATTCAAACAGCGCCTCCGCTCAAGAAAAAGCCATTTTTTTGCAAAAACTACAAACTGTGATCTAGAAAAAAACCATTGGTGGGATCTTCCTGCAAATTTGGCAACTTAAGTAATTGAATGTGCTCTATCTTTTTTATATAAACACCAAAGAAGGTTTATGTGAAAGAAACTGTTCAAATGATGAGTCGGACTCTTTGCCATTTTAACCAGCTGCGTTTGGAAGTTCATAAACTCCACGAAAGAAAAGCTTTGTGGAATCTCTCAAAAGTGATTTTGTAGAGAAATAGTGGATCCTTTTGATGAAACCAAACGTATGTTTAAAGAAGGCTTTATGTGTGCAAAAAGTCCCTTTAAAGTTGGGCGCCGACTCATTCTCCCCAACCCAATAATTGTAAATAACAATTCTATTCGGTTGGTGAATTGAAAACTGCGGGCTATTGTCATATGTGACAGTTTGAGCACTTTCTTCAAAAGAAACCCATTTTGGTGTCAATGGAAAAGTTGTGGAGAATTAAAAATTAAGCTTATATTCAAATTTTCAAAACGATTCAAAAACTGGTTTTCAAGAAATGCCAAATTTACAAATTCTCACAAAGCTTGCATTTTAAGCGAAACTACTAAGTGTATCTTTTTGGAAATTTGGCTATAAGCCTAATTTTTGATTCTCTACAACTTTTCTACTGACACCAAAATGGGTTTCTTTTGAAGAAAGTGCTCAAACTGGGACATCTCCAGTCCTCCATTTTTGAGTCTCACACTTGTCTCACACACAAACCAAAATCCTACTACGAAAGAGGAATCCGCAAATTGCTTGTAAAATGGGCAGAAGTCGTCAATAATAATAGACAACATTTGGAATGAATTGATGGTTTTATGTTGGATAAATTTTAGTTCAAAGTTCCGCAGTTTTCAATTCACTAACCCAATAGTTAAAGGATCTTTAAAAATTTTGATAAAATTTTAAAAAATGAATTATTCAATGCGCTAGAAAGGATTTTTTTTGCATTTTTGAGTATAAAGTTGCTACTATTTTGAGTTTAAAGCTAAAAATAACAAGTCTTGTACTCTTAAAAGTGAGTTATCTTTGTAAAAATGAATGACAAATTCGCCTACGCATTTTCAGCATGAAAACTTTCTTTTTGCTTTCTTTTGGGTACGGAAATACCTGACTTTTCTAAAACGGTACTTGAAAATTTCAAGTAAATTGAAGTGACCATGATTTTTCGATGAACCTTTTCGTAAATAGTGTCATGGAAATTTTGCGAATGATCACAAATGAAATGATTAAATGTGCAAACTTTTTTTTTACTTATATTGCTTTCTTTAGTTGTTTATTTCATGATTGAAATTCTGAAATGGGTTCAAAATCTGCAACTTTGAGTGCATCTCCTTGATTTGTTGCACGTAGACCTCCGAATCGATGCTTTGACAGCTTTTCAGAAACGAATAGTGTATGACTCCTTTGTTATATCACCAACTCGACAACATGACCTTCTTTGGGTGGAGGTCCGGTTTTAGAAAAAGAAGTCAGAGTTTATTTCAAAAAAAGTTTACCCATTTTCAAAAAGATAGCAAAACGATCAAATTGATCACGTTAAACAGCTGGAAAACGATTTGATTGACGACGTTTTTGAAGTGAAGAATCTTCTTAGCTTTGATGTGAAGTTGCTAAATCTAGGACTTTAACCACAAAACGGACTTTCTTTGACAAAAGACCACGAAACTTTCAAAAAACCACGATTCAGGGAAAGAGCCTATTTTTCTTTAAAAATAGCCGCTCTACAACTAAATTAAACTAGAAATAACAAAATTTGTAATTTTATTTACAAAATTTTAGTTTTACAACCTTTAGCTTGGGAGCTTTTTGTCTGGGAGCTTTTTGTCCGGAAACTTTTGCGACTACGCGACTGTACGAGGGGATGGGGTCCAATTACAGTATTTACGGTAGCTACTTACTGTAGTTTATTGCAAAAGCGTAAATAATAGAAAAACAAATTGAAATTTTGGATAAAGAGATAGAGAACGACTGCGGCTACTACTCTATTTTCGTCTTGTCATGAATGAAATCATTAATCATGGGAAAATCTTGCGTAATAGTCAAAGATTTTTTCCCAGATTTCCGGTCCAGAGATAAGAGCGACCATAGGAATAAACTCATGGAATCAACAGCTGAATAAATGGCCATTTCACTGTACATTGAAAATAGATCCCACCAAAAGTGACGGCGAAAAAACGACTGGAAATTGAGGAAACATTTGGACTCATCGCTTTCAGCGCTTTTACGCTTTTATGGGCGTATAAAAGCAGGTTTTTCCAGCTTCCTCGTTCTCAGCCAAGGGTTAAATTTTGTGTCAAAGGAGCGGTGCGAACCGTTCAGTTAACAAATAAAGTAAAAAAAATTGTCATTGTTTCAAGGAATGTTCAAAAGTTGATCTTGGCTAGCTTGTTTTTATATTATGAACACAAGCATTAGACAATTGTTAGCTCGCCAGAATTCGGAAAAATTTAAGCTCATAAGCTCAATTAGCCCAATTAAGCTTAATACGAGCGAACTCTTTTTTTTCGGTGATCTTGAGTTGATTACCTAAAGAATTATAAAAGCGATTGCTTACCTATCTACTTACCTATCTACTTACCTATCTACTTACCTATCTACTTACCTATCTACTTACCTAGCTGCTTACCTAGCTGCTTACCTAGCTGCTTACCTAGCTGCTTACCTAGCTGCTTACCTAGCTGCTTACCTAGCTGCTTACCTAGCTGCTTACCTAGCTGCTTACCTAGCTACTTACCATTTACCGTTTAAATCAAAAAGCTTTTGACATTGTTTCAATTGTGTTCAATTATGTCAAATTAGATATTTTTTGTAGCAACTTTTCTGTCAATTAGGTGACCGATTCGTGGCATTTCATTGGCATAGAATGCCATTTTTTTGTACTCATTGTCTGACAATTCAAATTGGTCGAGTCGAATTGATCTCTTTTTCCTAGCATTTAACTCATCTTTATGGTCTTTTGATGTCGTCGAGAAACTAAAAACTCTTTTTGAACTTTTTTGCTAGTACGATTGTTCTCTAATCTTTTGATTAGTAGATAAACAATTTATGCATTATGTATAGATCAAAATTTTCATAAACCATTTGAAGAAAATGTTAGGCTTATGGTTGTTGACTCAGTTGCTCCTGTTGTTGTTGACTCAGTTGCTCCTGTTGTTGTTGACTCAGTTGCTCCTGTTGTTGTTGACTCAGTTGCTCCTGTAGTTGTTGACTCAGCTGCTCCTGTAGTTGTTGACTCAGTTGCTCCTGTTGTTGTTGACTCAGCTGCTCCAGTAGTTGTTGACTCAGTTGCTCCTGTAGTTGTTTCTTTTGTTTCTGCTGTAGTTGTTGACTCAGCTGCTGCTGTAGTTGTTTCCTCCGTTGCTCCTGTAGTTGTTGCCTCAGTTGCTCCTGTAGTTGTTGCCTCAGTTGATGCTGTAGTTGTTCCCGCATGTGTTGTAGTTTTAACGCTTGGACTTGATGTTGGGTCGTGAGAGTTTACAAAAATAAACTCCGCACTGATTTGGATGAACAGGGTGCGGGAGCGTTTTTCGATTACCTGAAATCTTTGCGTTTAGCTGAGAACTTTATCATACCGCATCGAACGCATCTTCGAATATGGCTTTGTTGATCAGGGTATCTAACTTGATCACAATTTCACCTAAATTGCTTATTCTACACTGTTTTCGAATGGAATTATGCTTATCAATAAAATTACTACGATCTACTCGTTTTTTTGGTATTTAGGTAACCATTTATCTTGTTTTTTTTGATCATCGTTAGCAGTTGATAAACTGAGCCCTTTCTCTCTCGAATCCAAGCAATCTTTCCATCAAGTAAACAAGTTTCATCTTTTTTTTTCTTATACTTTTTGACAATGAGACATTTGTCTTACCTTGGATCATGAAAGGAGCTGCCCCGCAGTAGATGAGTCCTTTTGAGTAGTTAACTGAAAAATATAAGTACCTATTATTGGTTCATTTGAAACGTAATTATAATATTCAAAGGGATAAACTAGAGCAATTAAAAGCGGTATAAAATTTAAACTTACCGAAAGATATGATTACTGTACAAATTTTTGCGAAAGTTTGAAGGCTAATTAAAGTGCACATACAGGGAGTATCCTCGGCACAATCTTTCAACACATCTATTGGAAGAAAATCCGTTTCCACTCTCTCCACATGTGCTTTGAGATGTAGATCATGGAGAATAGCGTCCATCTAAAAGCATGGATACTTGTTTAAGACAAAGCTATCTTGTATAAAGATATAACGAAAAAGATAAGTTTTTGTTTATTTCTCACTCACAACTTCCTTGAAGCCATTCTCAATTTCCTCACGAGCCTCTTCAATTGTCACTGCCTCCCTCTTGGCTGGTTGATGTCGCATCACTTTTGGCTTTGGAAAAGCGAGATCCACTTTGGGCATCATCTGCAAACTTACCGTTCCCGTATTGGCTAGTGCTCCGACTAAAATTAATTTAGTTTTTTGAACACTTCGTAATGCTTGAAATTGAGAAGAAACTCACTAAAGTTAGTAGGTATTTTACTTGCTTTGAAATCTCAAAGTACAGTCGAACTTCAATACAACAAACTGCAAGGGACCGGCCGAAGAGTTGTACTGAAGTGTACGATCTGGGATCTGGGACGATCTGGGATCTGGGACGATCTGGGATCTGGGACGATCTGGGATCTGGGACGATCTGGGATCTGGGACGATCTGGGATCTGGGACGATCTGGGATCTGGGACGATCTGGGATCTGGGACGATCTGGGATCTGGGACGATCTGGGATCTGGGACGATCTGGGATCTGGGACGATCTGGGATCTGGGACGATCTGGGATCTGGGACGATCTGGGATCTGGGACGATCTGGGATCTGGGACGATCTGGGATCTGGGACGATCTGGGATCTGGGACGATCTGGGATCTGGGACGATCTGGGATCTGGGACGATCTGGGATCTGGGACGATCTGGGATCTGGGACGATCTGGGATCTGGGACGATCTGGGATCTGGGACGATCTGGGATCTGGGACGATCTGGGATCTGGGACGATCTGGGATCTGGGACGATCTGGGATCTGGGACGATCTGGGATCTGGGACGATCTGGGATCTGGGACGATCTGGGATCTGGGACGATCTGGGATCTGGGACGATCTGGGATCTGGGACGATCTGGGATCTGGGACGATCTGGGATCTGGGACGATCTGGGATCTGGGACGATCTGGGATCTGGGACGATCTGGGATCTGGGACGATCTGGGATCTGGGACGATCTGGGATCTGGGACGATCTGGGATCTGGGACGATCTGGGATCTTTACGGTTATCGGGGAAGGGAGGAGGACGAGTTTTGACAATTTTGTCGCTCATTTTTAAGCCCCGTAAACTTGTCATATCAGGAAGTTTTAATAATACCGTAAATCCTCTATTAGAGTGGCACCCTCCATTAGAGCATTAATGCTAATTTTGACAGCTCACAGATCCAACTTTTTCTCCGAAAGTGCTTAAAAGATGCATATGGGTCCTAATTATAATTTAAAGGTCATGGCAGTAAAATTCAAATCGATCCTGGAAAAAATATTGACTAAACATTTCTTGAGAAAAAATCATAATGGGGGGCCACAGAGATTTTCGAGGGTCGGACATCCGGGGGTAGAACCATGGACATAACTTTTTGTTTTAACTCTATTTTTTGTATGTTTTAGACTAAAAGGAATCGAATTAGAGTAATTTAATAAAAAATAATTTGTCTCAACAATGTGGTACCCTCTTATATGATTTTTTCGAAAAATGCGCACTGAACAATGGAATGGCATGCTGCTTTAATAGTTTTTCGTATGTTTTAGACCAAAAGGAATCGAATTAGAGTAGAGGATTTACGGTATTTAGATAGCTTAGAACATTAGCTTTCAGAAGCTATTTGTTTCATTAAAAAGTTATCAACAAAAGCCTATACAAAATCGGGCTGCAAAATTGTCAAAAACTCGACCGCCCCCGATAACCGTAAAGCACCAAATTTTATCAATCTTGCTAGTTTTACTCGACTAGTTTACAATTTGATTAAAGATTTATATCGGAATCCAAACACGAATCAGAATAAATCCATTTTAAGCCGATCCAGCAAAATTACTATTTAAAAAGTGGCAAACAGCTTAGATTGAAGCTTAGAAGTCCTATAGAATTGCTAATTTTGAGTTTCTGAGTAAAGTATTGAAGTAAAGTGTTGAAAATAAGTAGGAAATTTTACCAAAAAAGTTTTAGGGGAAATAGTTAACTCTAGGCTAAGCATTATATTGAAGTGTTAAAAACTCGACCGCCCCCGATAACCGTAAAGGTCCGAAATTTGTTGTAGAAACAGAAACAAATAACATAGAAACAAATAACCATTGGTTTTTTGACCAATTCGCTATATAAAAGTTTTTATAACAAATTTATTTTGAAAACAATATAACAACAAGTTGGAAAAACAACTCCGTGACGCTTATTGAATTCAGCCAACCGCCATTCGCTTGAAAATCGCTGGAAAATGAAAATGAAATTCCTTCCAGTCTTGCCAACTCCATCGCTTTATCTCGAAGCAGATTGCCGTCAACACATTCGTTTTGGCTTCGCATTTGATTTAGCCAAATAAGCACATACTCTTCGATTGATTCGTACTTGCTCGTTTTCAATCGTGCTCTTGTTGTAGATCCTCCTTCATCGTTCGATAGCTCGATCGCTTCCAAAATAGCCGACTTCTTCCTAAGAATTGTTGATCGCGGCAATTCGAAGTTCTTCGCCAATTCAGCCGTTCCTTTCGAAGTTGATTGAACGAGTATTCGCTTCTTCAAAGCTTCAAAGCTTGATCAACACTTTGACTTTCCTCGCTCCATCACCTAAAATATAAGAATGTTCTCAAAAATTAAAGGATAAAAAAAGAAAACCGTTAAGCACACTTAAGATAACTTAAGATAACTTGAGATAAAACTTAAGATAGAAGAAGTAAGCAAGCTAATTGTAAAGCATTTCAAATTCAGTAACAAAAAAAATAGATATCCAGTCCTTTGTTATATCACCAACTCGACAACATGACCTTCTTGGGGTGGAGATCCGGTTTTAGAAAAAAAAGTCGGAGTTTCGCTCTTATTATTCCGAATATTATTCCGAATTTTGCTTCCGATTGTCGTAAAGGACCCATTTTTTACCGCACGTTATCAATCGATCCAAAAAAGAGCCTTGCTGGTTTTGAAAATTCAAAGATGAATCCAGAAGTCGAGTAAATTTTTGTCGATCGATATATTGAAGGTTCTTTCTTAACATTTTATTAAGCGTTTGGCCGGGATCAAATTTAGGGTTCGTTGTATCGAAGTGTACGTTAGATCGAAGATCGTTATATTGAAGTTCGACTTTATTAGATTAGCAACTTGAAATTTGGTACAATTTTTCGTATTTTCCATAAGCATATTTCAGAAATCATTTTAATAATAAATTGAATTAAACTTCTCTAAATAAAAGTTTTCTAATTATCTAATTTATTATCTAATTTTATTATCATTATCTAATTTAAGACATGCTTAAGCAAATTTGGGTAACTTTTGAAACGAATTTAAGCAGAAATTCAAGTTTTTCTGAAAATTCTTCAAATGAAACTATAGAAAAAACGATTGATTATATCTAGCTGAAAATTTGGCTATAGATTTAACTTTTTGTGCTCTATCTTTTTTCTATTTACACCAAAATGGGTTTATGTAGAAGAAAGAGCTCAAATCGCTTCATCGAGTGTTCATCATTTTTGGTTTCTCAACTTCTCGTCTCCTAGAAACCTACCAAACCGAAGCTTTTCTAAATCTATCAAAAGCCTTTTTTAGAGAATTATTGGGGTTTTTATTGGTAAAAACTGTAGATGAATTGGAGCACTTTCTAAAAAAGCTGTTTCTAAAAAGTGTTATGAATAAGCGTATCAACTTTCTAGTTGTCAAAGCGTATCAACTTTCTAATAGGTATTATACCAACCTGGGGGCTTAACGGTTATTCTCCTAGCTGGCTTTGGCTTTAGTGCTATCGGTCCCAAAGGAGCACAGCCATAGCTAAGTACAGAAAACCCGACAACCAAGAGTACAAACGGTTTGCGCATCAGAAACTGAAATTGAAAAGTTTTGCAATTTAAAAAATGATTTAAGAAATTTAAGAATTTAAGATAAATTTGTGATGAAATGCAAGGAAAGGGTTATTTATTATTTATCGTTTTTAGAAATGAACAACTTGTCGTTTAGATTTGACTATTAGGTTATTAGGTTATCCCAAAAGTTTTTGTGTTTTGTGCAAGCCGTTTTTGACCCATTCAATCCAAAAATTCCTCCTGGCATATATACAGTACTGGACAATGAAATATCATATTTGAAAAAACGATCGTCACTTTCGCGCGTCAGTAACTCCCTTGTCTTTGAGTTTAAACTATTAGTGTTATACATTTTCTGAAAGCTCTTTTCAAGGGCTATACAATGGTAATATTAATATTTAGAAATACGGTAAAGACAAGGGAGTTACAGACGCGCGAAAGTGACGATCTTTTTTCAAATATAATATTTTATTGTTCAATAGTGTACATATTCTGAAAGCTAACAATTTGCTCTACAAAATGACATTGACTTTTTTTATGAAATACGAAACCACGAAAAATCTTTGAGTAAAAACTATGAATTTGGATGGTCTGCTAACGAGCTTAAACCCTTTTTGATCGAATTTTAACTTGGAAATAATTTCACTGAAAAGAGCACAAAAAATTGTATGAAAAAAGTTCGATTTCGAACTTTTAAAATGTTTATTCGCTGCGTGCTGAGTCTCCGAACATACTTTTGGTCATTTTTCCAGTCATTTTCAATGTAAAAATGGTCTTTTTCGACAAAAGTCATACATAAAAATCATAGTCATACATAATTGACAATTAAATATTTTGATCCTAATACTTTTTAGAGAGAAATTTTACGCTCTTTCCAATGGAATTGGTTTCAGAAATGAAATTCTGGCTTAAAAATTGATTTTTGGTGCTTATTAGCTTACCCGGTCAGGTACACTATTTTGCGTTCCGTAAAAATTGGAGAAAATTCGGTATTTTGTAAAACCAATTGGAGCATCTTGTAGAAAAAAGTGTTAGCTTTTAGAATATGTATATGTCGTAGGCGTTTATGAAATACAGCCGTTAACGAATGACTCAATTTTTTGTTTCGCGAGACGACGCAAGACGACGCGATTGGGTGCACCTTTCGTGTGTATCGTCGGAAAAAGCGGCTACTAGTCGACGAGCTCTACATATAGCTACACAAAATACCTAATAATCGCCATTGAATACAGTGCGTACCTTTTTACACAAAAAAAAGTGAGCCTTTTTTCGCGCGCCAACCACTGATTCACTTTCAGTGGTTGGCGCGCAAAAACTTTCAGTGAAAAATTCGAACGAATTTCCTTTTCCACTCATTTAACACAATAAAAACGGCTAGCCGATTAGGAATGACTCGAAAAGCGAAAAATTTCATTCGTTAACGGCTGAATTTCGTAAACGGTTACGACATTTATATGTCAAGAGAAATTTTTAGATTGAGTGGATCAAAAGCGGTCAAAATCAAAAGCAAAACACACAAAAACTTTTAGCACAGCCTAATACTTAAATATACATACAAAACGAGCTTGTTTTTGTCTTGAATTACAAGTTTTTTATTATGTTACATGAGTGGAAAAAGAAATGAAAAAAAAAACAAAATAAACAACAATAATATTAAGCATTTTTGATAGCTTTTTAAATGTTAAGTAATAAGAAAAAGCAAAGCTAAAAGACGTGGATGCATTTTGCTCAAAAAATGAATCCTTTTTAAGTTTTTAGATTTAAGAGTAAAGTCTCAAGTTGTTCTATTACCAAAAGAAACCAAAAGTAAGCGAAACCAAAAATTCCTCATTTTTATATTCATTTTTTGCAAGCTCTTTTTTATTTTCTATGCGTCCTATATTTATTCGTTTGTCACAATCAACAAGAGATCAATCTTGGTGCATTGTCAATTTCTTGTCCGATTTTATATCGTCAGCAAAAAAAGTTCGTTTTATTTGTTGCGTGTCAAGTTTTTGCGCCGTTTCCTTTTTGTGAGAGATTAAAAAAAAAAAGGAAAAAGTTGCGTTGAAAGATGGCGGTTGAAAGATGAAAGAAATTTGAAAAAGATTAAGAAAAAAAAGTGATAAGTAAGCCGCAAAACTAGATTTTTTCAAATCAAAAATTTGGAAAGTTGCATTGTGTCAATGATAAAGTTTTTTAAAGGGGGAAGGGGTAATAATCGTGGCCTATACAACGCTAGTCAGCAATTAATGGCTGACTAGCGTTATAGAAATCACCGAGTCTTTCTGGAAATCGATTTTAGGAAGTCAATGCATATGAAATGACTAGATTTTTCCAGATTTCCCCAACCGATCACCAGATTCCAGAGTTTTTTTATAATTTGCTAGTGAAAAGTTATGCAGTAATTAGCTTTTGACCAAAGATTCCAGCTCTGGAACAAACTATTTCATGATTTTCATGAACGTTTTCAATAAAAAGCTAAAGTTTCATTAAAGGAAAGGTAACAATCGTCACATATTCTTACTAAAACATTTTTTTCGAGAAAATTCATTTATTTTGTGTTTATTTGTTAGATTTATTGCTAGAAATGATAAAAGCGAGTTGGCAAAATTAATTTGAGCTCAAAATATAGTTCACGTTTTGCCTGGGCAATCTTTTAGGGGTTTTTTTTCCTTGATTTTGCATTTTTTTTTGGTTTTTTGGTGATTTTATTTGTGTCATAAGGGTTTTATTTTAGTTTAAACCATGTCGGATGAGGAGGAAGTTATTTCGACGCCCAAGTATCTTCTGGTAGAATTCGAACAGCTGGAATTGCTTCTTCAACATTATCATCTTTGTGATCGGGCAACTAGTGGAAAAACTGCTGAAAAAGGGAAAAACATTCAGTGAACGGAAAACGGCACAAATTTTACCGCCTCAACAATGGATGAAAGATGGTAGAGAAATAGCGAACAAACTATTGAAAGAAAAAAGAATTACGGACCAGGAAATCCATGAGTATCTTCTCTCACAATGATACGATAATCCCAGCTAAACACAAATTCCTATAATACCAAGTGGTAACTGCTTTTCTAAGTTGAGTTTGACAGTCAGAAATTGAAAGTTCCTGAACAGCTAGTCTTGAATGTAGAAGTTGAAGAGGGGTTATCCTCCGATAGGTGCAGAAATCCTCCGATTTCCGACAAATTTTACCGCCTCAACAATGGATGAAAGATGGTAGAGAAATAGCGAACGAACTATTGAAAGAAAAAAGAATTACGGACCAGGAAATCCATGAGTAGATGATGAAAATTGAGATGATGAAGTAGAAGTGATGAGTGAGAAATTTGGAGAGATTTTAAATTTGAGTGATGTTGATTCAGAGGATGAGTTTTGATGTTTGGTTATATTAAGAATTTAAATTATTCCTTTGTACATATTTTATGGCTTTTTTTTTGTTTGTTTTGTTGATTTATTTGTTATTTATGAAACAATTTAGGTATCTGCCGATCAAAGTCGATGTCGATCTTTAAACAAAGTTCAAGGATTTTCGGGATTCAAAGAAGTGTTCGGTTATTCGAATTATTTGTCTTAACTTGAATTTTTCTGAACTAGACTTGAAATTTGGAAAAGCCCTGTGATAATCGCCTACACTGGGCTTCTGAGAGTTTGGACAAATCGTGCCAACATCTACCCGGCAAGATTTCTTTTTTCTACAGCTTTCAATTTCTATTTAATTGAGGCAATTAGAAAATTTTCTAAAAGCTACAAACAACATAAGAAACAGAAGAAACCTCTTAACGGCAACATGCATTTCATATCGCAATTAAATACTCAACAGTAGGAAAAAGACAGAAAAAAAGGAAGCGCCTCGTGAAATCGGTTTTAAAATCATCGCCTATTTCTTTTTTTCAAAAGAAACTTTCATCCCTCAAACCTCAAGTTGTTTTTTCAATTTTCAAAAATAACTATCTCAACTCTTGACAAAAATTTTCAAAAAGTTGACAGGTCATTGATGATGGATCTTTACGACAAGTCACCGTTTATGGGAACGGTTGACCCAGGAGTAGAAGGAGCCGTTTGCAAGAACCCGGCCAGGGATTTTAAGGGACAAAGATTAAAGTATTTTTCTCTTCTATTCAAATTTAAATGTTTCCAATTTCTAGCACCTCACCTTGGCTCTCGGCTCAAGAGTTGGTAGCTAAAGAATGGCTGATTCCTGGTGATCTCATCGAGATCGAACGACATGCAGGCATATTCTGGCTTTTTGGAGGTCGAGGCGGACTCGGGCAATATTCGGTGAATGATGGAAGCTACTTATCCTAGAATTTCATGAACTCAGTTAACTTCTCACCATTTAATGCTCTCTTCTAGCTTTTCTGGTTTTCTTAGCTCTCTTAGGTCTTTTCTTAGCAGGGGTATAGCATTTTTTAAACAAAAAAACTCCGGAAATTTTTCCTAATACGGCTTTTCACTACAGCTTTTTTTTCTTATTTTTGATCTAGCACTGGGCCGTCTACGTGGGGAAGTCAAATGATGGTCAACCGATGGTCATTCATCGAACCGGAGATAAGAATGAAAAAGCAAAAGCCAAGGTTTGTTTCCTGCTTGAACTCTTCAGTCAATGTTAAGCTAGACTGGTTAAACACTCTTTACAACACAATCAAATGCCTCATCTCCAGATTCGTCTCGGGAACTTTTATGAAGTAGCCAAAAAGTGCATCTGTTCGATCAACAACTATCACGATGATCGAGACCGAATCTATCCTCCATCCGAAATTGTCAAACGGGCAAAGAGCAAAGTTTATAATGTTTTTCAAAAACTATGAAAATTATATGTAAAGACAATTCAACTTTGTGTAACGTAATGACACCATTCTCAGATCGGAAGCGAGGGCTACCATTTGGCCTTCTCTAACTGTGAGCATTTTTCGATGTGGTGTCGCTACGGTTACACACACTCGGGCCAAGTGGTTTGTTTCATTTTTGTGAACTTTTTGTCAACGATGACTTTGATTTTATAGGAGGCCACGTTGAACAGCGTCCGTGGCCGGTCATCTTGAGGAATGTTTTCAAAATTGATGTACTTTTCTCTGTTAAATAAATGAATTCAATTGGTGAACAATTGCACATTAAGGGAAAGAGAAATGGCAATGGCAAATGGCAAAAGTCATTGCACACATGATAAGAATGTAGAAAGGTGCGTTTAGTGAATGTAAAATGAGTGTTGGAGTGGTGGGTTTTGCTGGTGGCTGAAAGTTGAGTTCCGGAGAATCTTCTCGATCTTCTCTCACAGTGATACGATAATCCAAGCTAAACATTCCTATAATACCAAGTGCTTTTCTAAGCTTTTCTAACAAATCCACTTATACTTATGTTTAGCCAACATTTTCATTTGTTATTATAAAATCAAGAAATTCTAGTGAGAATGACAAAAAAAGGTAAAATCTAGGAGCTTGATGAGTTTGAATTAGGGCTTGATAAGTTTGAATTAGGGCTAAAATCTGAAAGCAGTGAATCATGCATAAAACGAGTCGAAAGCCTCCAATTTGATCATTGAGTGACTACCTTCAAAAGCCAAAAGGGGAAATATTTGCCCAATATTTAGGGAAACAATCTCAACGCTCAAACAATCTCAATACTTCAATGCTCTTTTTATCTTGAAACTTTCCAGGTTCTCCACCCGCCACACAATCATCAAGTGCAGGCGAAACGCTCTTACCTATCTCTTATCCCTCCTTATCTTCGAGATCTGCATCTCCTTCGTGGAATCGCTTGAACCAGACTTGCGCAGTGCGAACTGATACAGCGCCTGGTTCAAATTGATGTTTTCGGTTGCATTTTTTGCTGAATGTCCGAGTTTGAATTCATACAAAAGAATCGTCTGAATTTCCTTTTTGTCCATATTTGGAAACCCGAGACCTAAACATTGTAGATAATTAGAAACACAAAATCTTTAAGGAAACTGAAAGAAGAATAACTTAGCATGAGAATTAAAATAATAATTACAAGAGTGGACAAATTTAGGTTTTCAAAAGCTATGTCAAAGTCAACCAGTCGAAAAATGTAGTTATTTTTCGTAGTACCTAATATAAAACGCGCTTTTCTTGTCTCATTTTAATGCATTTAATGATGATTGAATAGTTTTGAAATTAAACAAGAAAAGCTTGATAATTTTTTAAGATTACTGGGGAAAGAAACGAACTTCCCACGAACATATCTCTTCTGACCTCAAACGCTCGCATGTTCTCCTCCAATTGGAACGATGAACGGAATGCAAAAGAGCAGCATTCCCAGCGACGAGCCGACACTGTGCGCCCAAATTCCGTGTCGGATCAGCTGAAGTTGATGAATGAATCTCAAAGCGAAGCCATGGAGGAAACTTTGATTCCCAAATCTTGAACTTCTTTTCTCTTCTCACCTCAAACGCCCGCATGTTCTCCTCCAATTGGAAGCGAATACTCAGCGTGTATTTGTCCTGTTCAAAGCTCTTCCTCAGCATTAATAAGCGGGCCTTGTTATTCCGATATAAGAGGGAAAACGACTAAAATCGACATTTTTGTGGGGATTGGAGGAAAATCCACCCCATATAGGATGCCGATTCCCGTCAACGTGTACAAGAGCATCAGCATGAAGAATGGCTTTGTGTAGGTGGCACCCCCTGAACGCCGGAAAAGTCAACGAAAAAGCTCTTATCGAGGAATTTCTTTCAAGCAAAATGTTCGGGTTTTTTTGCTCAATCACTTCGTTTCTTACTAGGGAAAGGCACGAAATTCCCGTGAGCTTTCGTTTCCGGACCACATACATCTTACTAAATCGAGTCTGGAGATTCATAATCTGAAATCAAAATCTACCAAATAAGATTGCAGACGCATTGCAACTAAAATTTCGAAGATAAGCTTTAAAGGGCGCTTTTCAATAACTCGGATATGGGCACCGGTGGCCTAGTGGAGAGGAGAGTGGACCGAGAGAACTTTTGCTTTGTTATATTGAATATTTACAAGGTAAAGGATTACATCTATAGAAAAAAGAACCAAAAAACGAAAAGCGAGTCCGAACCCCGATCTTACTACCGAGAGGCTGTCCCACTAGGCCACCGGTGCCTAGTCCCAGCGATTGAAAAGAGGAGCACACTCTAATCAGACGTACTTTGAATGAAATCTCGACACTTGTTAGGAGAATGGATGTACTTGTAATCACAATAATAATTTCTTTGAGTACAAATAAAAGATTTGATTTAATCTTTATTTCCACATGAATTTCAATTGTTGGAAGTAGATCTCAGAGTCGTTTCGAGCCGTCTTGTACTGCTCAAGGTTTTGTCTCTCACGTTTCGCCTGTACTTGATGATTGTGTGGCGGGTGAAGGACCTGGAAAGTTTCAAGATAAAAAAAAGCATTGGAGTAGTCGGCGTTGAGATTGTTTTCCTAAATAATGGGCAAATATTTTCCCTTTTGACTTTTGAAGGTAGTCACTCAATGATCAAGTTGGAGGCATTGAAACATTCGTTTTATGCATGATTCACTGCTTTCAGATAGCCCTAATTAAAACTTATCAAGCTCCTAGATTTAACCTTTTTTTTTGTCATTCTCACTAGAATTTCTTGATTTTATAATAACAAATAAAAACAAATGTTGGCTAAACAAAAGCATAAGTGGATTTGTAGACTATTAGGGTGGTGCAAAAGAAAGCATAATCTTCTTTCCATGAAGATCGAGTTTTGGAGTAGTTTGAGGAACTTGACCTGACGATAACTATTGTTTCTTTCGTGTTTTATTATCGAAATAGACCCAATGGATACCATTCTGGATACCATTCTCAAAAAACTGAGCGTCCTTCTGAGCAAAGTAGAAATCAAGTGCGTTTTTGACTTGTGCATGATCATCGAGAAGTTTTCCATAAAGGAATTGCTTTAACGATGGAAACAAATGGTAATCTGAGGGTGCTAGGTCGGGTGAATAAAGCGCATGTGGTAGATGTTCCCAGCCAAGCTCGTCGAGTTTTTTGTGAGTGACTTTTACTGTGTGCGACTTTGCGTTGTCTTGCAAAAAACGGACCTTCGACGGATTGATGCCCATTTTCTTCAATGAGTCACTAACTCTCATCAACTGTTTTGAGTAGAGATCAGCATCGATGTTATGCATAGGATTCACCGACTCATAGTACATCAAACCTGTAGAATTCCACCAGCAACAAAACATAATCTTCTTCCCATGAATATCGAGTTTTGGAGTAGTTTGAGGAACTTGACCTGACGATAACTATTGTTTCTTTCGTGTTTTATTATCGATATAGACCCAAGTTTCATCGGAAATTAAAATTGAATTCCAGAAACCTCCAGATTTGCGCTTGTGAAGCAAAAATGATCTGATATTGACACAGGTTGTTTTGTTTTCTTGAGTCAATTCATGGGGAACCCACTTTCCACATCGATTTTTTTTCCCAACACAATGCAAATGATTTTCGATTGTTGTATGAGAAACATTTCTGCCAATTCTCGTGTAGTGAGTGTTGGATCCTCTTCAATTTCTGTCATCAACTCCACATCAGTCACTCCTGGAGGGTGGCTCTCATGCGGCTCATCCTGGAGACTTTCGTTGCCACTTTGAAAGCGTAGAAACTATTAGTGTGGTGCGAAAGAAACTGCCGATGGGTATCAGCTCTCATTTATCAGAAACGAGCGATGCTAACGGCATTATTTTTTTTTATGGTTTGTTCGCATATTTGTTTGCTATTTATTTCGACATTTGAATTTTTTGCTTCTTGTTTATTTTATTTTAAAATGCTTTTTTATTTAGATCATGGTCAAGCAAAAGTTTGTGCTACGAGCAGCATTATTGTTAGCTTCAAAATTGGAAAGTCTGCTGCCGAATCGCATCGTTCTCTCTGTGCTGCTTTCGGAGATGGCAGTTCATCTCTCAGACAGTGTCAGACTTGGTTTCAACAATTCCGAGAGGGATACGAGACTTTGGAAGATTACGAGCACGGTTCGAGGCCAGAGTCGTGAACGAAGCCAAGCTGAGCGACGTTATTCAGGCCGATCCATGCCAATCTGCTCGAGATCTTGCGAAAATATTCCATTGTGATCATGTCACCATCGAACGCCATCTTTTTTTTTTTGAATTTAACGTCAAATCGGCAGTTTCTTTTGCACCACCCTAATAGAAAGAATCCTGCATAGGCTCACTCGGATAATTCACCAACTTTCCAAAAGATAAATTGCAGTTTTCGTCTCCATCCGGGCACTGCGTTCACCATGGTCATTTGCATGCCGGTCATGTAGCTGAAAAAGAGATTCATTCATGTGAATAACCTTCAGAAACTTGAGCAAAACTCTGAACAAGTTCTTTTCCTTTGAACAAGTATCTTCTACTCGTCTAAAGAAAACTCACATTCCGCCTAAAGCCTCAAAAGCGGCTGTCGAGAGTTCGGCTTCGGGCGATCCGACTTCAAAAATGATGAACGGAATGCAAAAGAGCAGCATTCCCAGCGACGAGCCGACACTGTGCGCCCAAATTCCGTGTCGGATCAGCTGAAGTTGATGAATGAATCTCAAAGCGAAGCCATAGAGGAAACTTTGATTCTCAAATCTTGAACTTCTTATCTCTTCTCACCTCAAACGCTCGCATGTTCTCCTCCAATTGGAAGCGAATACTCAGCGTGTATTTGTCCTGTTCAAAGCTCTTCCTCAGCATTAATAAGCGGGCCTTGTTATTCCGATATAAGAGGGAAAACGACTAAAATCGACATTTTTGTGGGGATTGGAGGAAAATCCACCCCATATAGGATGCCGATTCCGGTCAACGTGTACAAGAGCATCAGCATGAAGAATGGCTTTGTGTAGGTGGCACCCCCTGAACGCCGGAAAAGTCAACGAAAAAGCTCTTATCGAGGAATTTCTTTCAAGCAAAATGTTCGGGTTTTTTTGCTCAATCACCCCGTTTCTTACTAGGGAAAGGCACTAAATTCCCGTGAGCTTTCGTTTCTGAACCACATACATCTTACTAAATCGAGTCTGGAGATTCATAATGTGAAATCAAAATCTACCAAATGATTGCAGATGCATTGCAACTAAAATTTCGAAGATAAGCTTTAAAGGGCGCTTTTCAATAACTCGGATATGGGCACCGGTGGCCTAGTGGAGAGTGGACCGAGAGGTGGACCGAGAGGTGGACCAAGAGGTGGACCGAGAGGTGGACCGGGAGGTGGACCGAGAGGTGGACCGTGAGGTGGACCGGGAGGTGGACCGGGAGGATGAACGGAATGCAAAAGAGCAGCATTCCCAGCGATGAGCCTCTTGGTTTACCTCTCGGTCGTAAGATCAAGGTTCGCTCTTGGTTTTTAGCTTTTTTTTCTTTAAATGTAATACTTTACAGGCTTTTACCCGTTCATTGCTCATTGTAAATCGTAATTTGAAAAAGAACCCAAAAAAAACGCACGCACCTTGCTTTTATCAGATGTTCGTATTGTGAAACTTTCTATCTTTTTGGATGTTTCGTGATCTCGCTTCATATATGCTAGCATTTCACCTTTTGCTTTGTTATATTGAATAGTTACGAGGTAAAGTATTACATCTAAAGCAAAAAGGATCCAGAAAACGAAGAGCGGGTCCGAACTCTTACTGCCGAGGCTGTCCCACTATTCACTAGGCCAACGGTGCCTAGTCCTAGCGATTGAAAAGCGTCCTTTAAAGCTTCAATACTTTAAAGTCTTTTAAAGCTTCGATTGGGCAGATTTTGATTACAGATTATGAATCTCCATACTCGATTTAGTGAGATGTATGTGGTCCGGAAACGAAAGCTCACGGGAAGTTTAGTTTAAAGTTTAGTTTAGTTTCCCTATTTAGCTTAACTAACAACTAATCATGATTAGAAATAAGAACAAAAACGTAAACTCACAAAATGTGTACAGATAGGCGGCGAAGACAGAGGCTAAGCTCAGAGAGACATGGTGATAGAGATCGAAGCCGATTCGTCGCCGTCGCTCGTAATCTTGCAAGAAGATCGTCGCGCAGAAGCGCTAAATTTGGAGATGATCTGTTGCTGAAATGGAAAGCGGTCGTATTAACCACTTTTCACTTGTAGTTCTAAAAACTGCACTAGTTTTTTTGTTTCGGGGATTTCAAGGAGAACCTTGGACTGATACATTGAGCTGAGCATTGAGCTGAGCTCTTGAGCTGAGCATTAAGCTGAGCTCTTGAGCTGAATACATTCTCTAAATAGCGCAAAGCAAGCAAACTAGACCACCTCAACGACCACCATGCAGATGGTGCCTACAATCACATTGTACGTGTACATTCGGACCATCGAGCAGAAGATTAACGTCAGATCTCTCTGGATTTCGCCTATACTTTTTTGAGGTGAACAAGTCAATGAATCGATCAAGAACCATTGACTTTTTGTAGACCAAACTGATAAGTGAGCAGACTGAGACGGCAGAGTTGCGAGAGAGAATGCTGCAACTCGACGCTGACGATGAGGTGACAGAAATTCCGGTGGAACGTGCGAGTCGTGTAGACGATGTAGGCGATCAGCTAGAAAGAGAAAGGGTTGATAGGCTCAATTTCGTGATTTCTTGTGTGATTGAGAGAAATGCGAAAGTCAAGAATTTGTTTCTCAATCAAAAGATTCTCTTTGGCAAACTGTGGCTCTATCGGAAGCCAATAACTGACTCCATCTCTTCCTTCTCCCCATTCAAAAGCCATTCTCAATTGCTTCTCCGGTGGATCACCTAGTATAGAGGCCAGTATAGTGGCCAGCTCAGCCATGTTGCCCTGGGGACCCTAGTTCGATTCCAGGTTTGGTTCGATTCCAGGTTTTACTTTCTTACTAGCCTAAGCCTAAGCCTAACCAGAAAATGGGGGTTTAGCCCAAACCCAAATAGACTTAGTGCTAGGCGCTAGCCGCTAGCCTACGCACTAAGTCCAAGCCTAAGCCTAAGCCTGAGCCTGAGCCTAAGCCTGAGCCTAAACCAACCAATTGCCCAGTCCATGAGAAGATAAAGCCGACAAGTTCGAAGAGAATACAAATCCAATACAAATAGATATACAAAGGCTTCTTCTTAATCAGATTGACATCGACGATCGAGAAGAGTAAGAGATTGGTTTGATTGGTTTGATTGGTTTGATAAATCATTTTAAATGCTTTAAAATTTGATGAAAATGAAAGCAATGAAAGCAATGAAAGCAAAGAAAGCTTTAGAAAGCAATTATAAGATAGACTTTTGTGGACAGGTGAAAAAGCTGAGTTTTGTGAAGAAAGAAGGTGTTGGAGTCGAGAATTTGGCTATTTATGAAGACAAGGAAGTGATTTTCCTCGAGTGATTAAAGAAAAAGTTTAGTATTTCTCTTATAGAGTTTTGCTCGAAATGATGTCTTAGCTTTTTTCCAAAAAAGAGACTATAACATCCAGATAAAGTGAATGAAGCTTTCAATTAATGTCGAAACCCAATCACTATGCTTACCACCGGAAATATTGATCAAGAGCGGCCGTTGGTAAGTGAAATACAAGAAATACACTTTTTTTTGTACTTTTTGACTTTTTTTGTATTTAGATTTGTGATCTGTTATAAAATGTGGTTAATTCCTGAAATTGAGACAAACAAAAAGGCTTTAAGACTTTAGACTTTTAGGCTTTAAATGAAATTCTTCATCTTCTAAAAGATATTGAGCTATTTCCATAACTTGAGGTCATGTTCTTAAACTTTTGTCCGGCACTGTACATGAATTAGGTAGGCAGAAGAGGCACTTATTGAGCTCTAAAAGATATTCAGCTATTTCCATAACTTGAGGTTATATTCTTAAACTTTTGTTCGGCACTGTACATGAATTAGGTAGGCAGAATAGGCACATATTGAGCTCTAAAAGATATTCAGCTATTTCCATAACTATTGGGTTGGGGAGAATGAGTCGGCGCCGAAAATCAAAAAAATGTCTAAAACTTCTATTCGACTTCGTCAAATAATATGCGTTTGATATCAGTAGAATGGTTAACTAATTCTCTACAAAATGACATTTAAAAGAAAATTCAAACAGCGCCTCCGCTCAAGAAAAAGCCATTTTTTTGCAAAAACTACAAACTGTGATCTAGAAAAAACCATTGGTGGGATCTTCCTGCAAATTTGGCAACTTAAGTAATTGAATGTGCTCTATCTTTTTTATATAAACACCAAAGAAGGTTTATGTGAAAGAAACTGTTCAAATGATGAGTCGGACTCTTTGCCATTTTAACCAGCTGCGTTTGGAAGTTCATAAACTCCACGAAAGAAAAGCTTTGTGGAATCTCTCAAAAGTGATTTTGTAGAGAGATTGATGTTTGAACTTTACACATACTTTTGATGAAACCAAACGTATGTTTAAAGAAGGCTTTATGGGTGCAAAAAGTCCCTTTAAAGTTTGGCGCCGACTCATTCTCCCCAACCCAATATTTCCATAATATTCTTAAACTTTTGTCCGGCACTGTACATGAATTAGGTAGGCAGAAGAGGCACTTATTGAGCTTTAAAAGATATTCAGCTATTCCCATAACTTGAGGTCATGTTCTTATGTTCTTAAACTTTTGTTCGGCACTGTACATGAATTAGGTAGGCATAGGCACTTGCATCTCAAGCAAATACTATACAAATTTCATCTAAAGGCACTAAGTGTTATCTATCGTTTAAAAGCTCCTCTAGAATAATGTATATCTGAGATTTTGTTAAGAATCTTAACCAACCAGAGTTGGATTCTTGTTATTAACTTCGGCACTCATTTGGACTACTGCCATTTTTTCTCAATATTGAAATACGTCAATTTTTCGCGCTCTCAAAAAACGAGCCTTGTTCTGATTTTCTATTTGCTTTATTCTAAATAGACTTTATAAGAAAAGTACTCAAACTATTCTCAGAATTCTTAGTTTTTGGACAAGGACAAGGACACCGTTTTTTGGACACCGTCGTCATCGGAAACAGGACACCGTTTTTGTCATTTTCGTAAAGCCAATAAACCGAGCTAGTACTAGATTTGTGGAGTGATTGATGAATCGCTATTGAGCCACTGGACTGTATGAATCACCGGACTGTATGAAGTATTGTATGAAGTACGTACAAGGACGTGCAAACGCAAGTATTGTACAAGGAACGTCGACTGAATATCTTTCAAAAAGTAAACTTTATAAACGTTTAATATCTTTAGTTCCAAAAAGACAGCAAAACGATTAAATTGATCAGGTTGAGCAATTGGAAAACGATTTGAAGAATGACGTTTTTTGAGGTGAAAAATCGAAACATCTTTGATCGAAGATCACTAAATTCGAAATTTTTACTGTTCAACGACTTCACTAACTTTTCTTTTAACTTTGGTAGACACTTGTCTCGTGGCAAAATGACAACCATCACACAGCCAAGACCGATCAGACAGACATCGATTATCACGTAAATTCCTAAACAAGATTGGTCGAGAAGCAATTTCCCTGGACAAGCCAAACAAAGCCAAGAAAAGGCCAGAAGCCAGACCAATTTATGTAGTCTGGCTTTGCTAAAAGTTTACGAAAATCCCTAAAGCTTGAGCCAAATCTAGACCTGGCTTCTGGTCTAGCTTTTTGTCAGGCTTCTAGCCTTATCTGGCTTTTTGTTAGACTTCTAGCCTTGACTGGCTTTTTGTCAGACTTCTAGACTTGCCTGGCTTATTTGTTTAGGTCCAGCCCAAGCATTGGAATACAGACTATACCTAAAATAACTTACCGATCACTGGAAACTTCGAAGTCTTCGGGATTTGATTTGCAACCAACTCGAGGAGAACGGTCATTGACATCATTGTCGTTAATCCAAGACTGAGCTAAAATTCTGGATTCTAAACTGGATTCTAAAACAAAACGGAAGCGATTCGAATCTTGAACTTGAACTTGAACTCTTCAAATTCTCTTTCAAATCAGTAGTTACCTTTATGAGCTTCTCATCAGCGCTCTTTGATTGCCAAAATAATCCAACAACAGAAAGAAATGTGAGCAGAAAAGCCGGCACAACGATTACCCAAATGTAAAAATGGGGTTGTCTTTTGTAGACAAAAGTAAAGTAAACCTAGATTTATGTTATTAAGGAAAAATATTGATCTCACAAATTCATAGGGGAAATCGTTGTCAGTGAGTATCGTTTTTGCAGCAACTGACATGTTGCTGATTATCCATTCGCCGTTTCCCTGAAATTTGAATAATTTGGAAGCAGAACCGTTACCGATACCGTACTTTGAAGAACTAATAATATTATGGATCGTTTTTTAGAGCAAGGTTAACACTCCCAGAACATCAACTAACCTTAAAAACACGTTCATCGAGCTGAGAAGAGATTCGAGCATTTTGCGTCACCAGATACACTGGATAGTTGTAAACTTCGAAACCGACCACACAACTCTGCTCGTCAAACGGAAAGTGAGACATCTGTAAAAGTACATGTGTCCGTAGCTTGATTTTTAAAGATTTTCTTAAAGAGGGCAGGGTTGTACCCAGAAAAGATTTTTGGAAGGAGTAAGGTCGGACAAAAATCAGCGCAAAGCGTCAAGCAAGCAAAGCGTCAAGCAAGCAAAGCGTCAAGCAAGCAAAGCGTCAAGCAAGCAAAGCGTCAAGCAAGCAAAGCGTCAAGCAAGCAAAGCGTCAAGCAAGCAAAGCGTCAAGCAAGCAAAGCGTCAAACAAACAAAAATCAGCACCAAAAAATCTTTTGAAGGTCTAATTTGTTGATAAAATACGCTTTTATACAACAATCAACAACAATCGAATCGACAAAGCAACTATCTTTTTTCGAAAATGGTAAGGATCTCCCACAGGTAATTTTCGAAAATTTTGGAACGGTGGGGAAATGCTTCCCCTTGCGCCCCTGGGCCTGAAAGGCGAGAGTGGAGGGTGACAAAGCAACAATCGAGACAATCCAAGTGAAGAATTTTTTCCGTCAATAACTATCATTTTTTGTTTTTATTTGATACTTATATACTAAAAATGACAGAAACAAATCGGCTGATTGACAAATCGGCAAATTGGCTGATCCTGCCATATTCGGCGAACTTTTGTTGATGAACACCTCCTGCCCCGGCAGGCAGGTTTGAAGATGTCAACTTGCAACCCACTCCTCTCGCAGAAAATTGGAAACGTTCCTTTTTTGGGGGGTTTTCATTTGAGATGAGTTCGAGTGAGGATAATTCAGGCGAAGATATAGTTATTGAAGATGATAAACGTATGTCATTGTTGAGTTATCACAATTGGAAACTTTGCTGCAACATTGACATATTTGCGGGAAAATACCAGAGGTTGGAGTAAAGGAAAGTTGAGAACCATTAACTGGACAAGAAATGGAATTGCCTCACAGATGCCTTAGAATATTATTTTTAACATTTTACTTTGATATAACACTTTTAGTTTGAAATTGAGAGTAGAGATTAGAGATTTTTGAGATTCTTTGTTTAACCCATTCGAAACCGCAGCGTTTTTTCTTTTTTTTCGTCTACGGACCAAGCCCTTTTTTGACATTTTTGACTCCGAAGCAGTTTATTTATGGTTGGAAAGATGCAAGAGAGTCTCCTACACCATTTATTTTTGATGAAGAACGATTTGGATTTGACTTCAGTACTTTTCAAAATCCTATATTATTCTTATTTTATCGACGACAAATTAATCAGCATGTTAGTAGGCGAATCTAATAAACATGGAAAAAGGAAAAAAAACTGGCAAGATGCATTCGATGCAAGCTCTTCCTGGCTCTGTATCGTGACTACTGGAGTAGCAGGCCTGGATTAGGAGGATTTTCCCACATGTCCCACATTATGTCAAGAGCAAAATTTGAATCTATTCTTCGAAACCTGCGTTTTTGTGATAATGAACTGGATCCTGCGGGAGATCGGCTTTATAAGATTAGAGCTATTATGGAACATTTCAATGCAAAACCAGAGACTGCATTGATTCCGGGTAAATATAAAACATCTTCTTTGCTCACGTAATTTGTAGATCTGCTACAATTGGAATATACATGCAATGCTGAAAAACAGCAAAAAAAACCAATTAATTGAATGAAAATAGCTCAATTAGCGCTGCAGCGGTCCGTTCATGAGTTTTTGCTGCAGCGATTATTCGCTGCAGAAGTTTCGAATGGGTTAAGGCAAGGGTTTGTTTTTTGGTTATTGTTATCCTGTGAAAATGAAAAATTCCTTTTCTCTACAAATATGATTCCTTTTATCAATTCTTTGTCCTTAAGTGACATTTGTGAATAGCTATTGCTATTGCTAGCCACTCTTGGTTCAATTAATTTTTCCCAATAATGTCTTGAACTTACATCCATTGGACACGAGATGCTGACAACTTGCATAGAGTCTAGGTAAAGACTCCCATCGCTGTGAAGCTCAATTTGCTTCTGATAGGGTAAAATCACTTCATCGATCACCTTTCTGAAATCATTCTTGATCCAAATCCGAATTTTATCTGAATCTGATTCACTCACGCATTGGAAACACTATTTTCGGGTTGCCAAACGGAGTCATATTGCAGCCAAGTTCGTTCGATTCCTCCAAAATCGGCAGGATTCCACATGAGGCGGGGATCTTGCCATTCCTGAATCATTCCTGAGTCATTTCAGTGATACTTCAAATTCAGAGGTTGATTTTGAATTCGAATTTGTTTGTAAACATTGTTATTGTTTGCAAAAAGCTTAAAAACTTACCATTGCGAACTCAAACAATTGCTGTGCTTCTTGACTTTGAGCAGCCTTTAAAGTTGAAGCTTTCGAAAAAAAAAAGCATCCAACAAACTCACCAAATCGATCACTCTCACATAACCCAAAGTGATATTGACAACTAATCGAGGCACATCCTGATCTAGTTCTAAATATTTATCTGAATATATCTTTGATTTCGAATATTAAACGAACCTGATAAATTTCGCGACTGAAGTGAGTAGACGGGTGACAATTGTCGTTTATAACCTCTCCTCTCAAAAAGCTCTATGTATAATTGTTGACTAGCGTTGTAGAAATCGCCGAGTTTTTCTGGAAATCGATTTTTGGGAAGTCAATGCATATGAAATGATTAGATTTTTCCAGATTTCCCCAACCGATCACCAGATTCTAAAAAGTTCTTTTATGATTTGCTAGTGAAAAGTTATGCAATAATTAGCTTTTATTTACAGTAGTACGATAAGAAGAATAAATTATAAATGAGTGAAAGGGGAAGGGGAGACTGCAAGTGAGAGCCTTACTTGTCCTCCTAGTATTCGTCTTATCGTACTACTGTAAATAAAGATATATACCGTATTTTCTCTAATAGTAGTGCACCCTGAGCCTTGCCTAAATTCCTCGAAATCTCGAAAAACGCTTATCAGAACCTATCGACGTGGGGTCGGAAAATGTAGCTGACGATGAGCTCTAGTGGGGGATTTGAGTGTTGAGTTTCCTTGAAAACTTTGAAAGCCCTAAAATAGCCACCAACTCGGCTCGCTGGGGTGCACTACTATTAGAGAAAATACGGTATCTTCCGGGTCGATGCAAGTGCAGTTCAGGTCGGTCATTTCCCAGGGACTTTGCTCTAATAAGTTGGAGGAGTTGAGTCGGGTTGTCGGGGTGTTGGAGATGGCAGGATATCAAAAGGGGTCCACTCTCTTTAACTTAACCCAAATTCTAGTCCATATCGGTTTCCTTCTAGAAACGAACAAGCTCAAAAGAACATCAAAGTTGAGTTGACTTCAATGATCGAAAAGTTTCTCCATCATTTTAAGCCAAATAAAAAAGTTATTAGCCTGTTATTAGCCTGTTATTAGCCTGTTATTAGCCTGTTATTAGCCTAAGGTTCTACTCAACTCCTCCAACTGATTAGAGGAGAGTCCCTGGGAAATGACCGACCTGAACTGCAGTTGCATCGACCCGGAAGATACCGTATTTTCTCTAATAGTAGTGCACCCCAGCGAGCCAAGTTCTAACCAAACATAAATCAGATAGCTCTTCTGGTGGAGAAATTTACATTGTTTAGCCATTTCATATGCATTCATCCAATAGTAAAGTCTAAAAACCCCAAGTAAAAGGACCTAGCTTGGCTTTATTAACAAACGCACAAATCCTTAGACGAAGCCAGAGCTGGACCAAACTTCATGCCGGGTTTACAGGCTTCATGGAACCTTGGAATAGTCCTGAACCGGAACAGATTCGGGCCAAGATACCAAGCCTGGACACGATCTGGCTAGCCTGCCTTTTGAACACCCTGCTAGCCTGCCTCTTGAACAAAGTGCAATACCAAAATAAAACCTAAACCAACCATTTCCCACGACTTCTTTCCAATCGACATCACCAAGAATTACAGAAATAAATAATTGAAAGCAAAACCTATTGAGCATTAATGAATAAATTCTTTCTACTGAATTTTTCTCGATTTTTCTTCTCATTTTGTTGTTTAATGTTTCTGCTAGTCAAACACTTCACCTATAAAATTGGCCCTTTTTCACTTCCCGAATAAATGGGAATTCGAGAGGGGAAAATATGCGTGAAAGTTGTGTTCTTTACTTGAGTGGATTGGAGAATTCTGATGTCTAAGGGGGCAACAGAAATCATAGGAAATTTGAGATGGAAAAAGTATAATGAAGGAAAAGTTCTTCAAAGTAATCGTTTTTCTGAAACCTGTCTTGTTTTAAAAAACATTGTGGACCTAATTTTTGTCTAATCTTTTTCTTATCGATTTAAGTACTCTGAGCTCAAAGCTCTGAGCTGTTTAAGAGTTCAAATTGCTGTTTTTGAAAGGATTGTCGGATAGATTTTAATCGTTTGAATTGCTGGATGCTATCTGTGCTATCTATTCGTATTATTCATGAAAAATGTCGTGCAGAGTGTGTTCCTTTCTTCAAATCCATTTTCTAAAACATGTCACTTTTCGAAAGTTACCGTAGACTTATCTCTAGTGTTATCTCTTCCGTAAATACTGTAATAGTACCCCAGCCCCATAATGACGATGCGAAGTGTTGCGTAGTCTAGCTAGTTTTTCTCGACACTGGTTTATGCTACAATGCGCGCTTAGGTATCAAAAAATAGCCCTGAATTTCAGAGTTGCCAGTTTCAAGAAAAATTCATTCAAGTAGCTGATTGCATGATCCAGAGCTCATAAAAAACCACATAGTTGAAGATTTTTATTGAAAAATATTTGTTTTAAGCTTTTTAACTAGAAAAGAGTCAAATGTGATAAAAAAGAACCATGTGAGTGCGCTTAAAACTTCATGAAAAGCTGCAGATTGAGTTTCGTGGGTTGTTTCTTTTTCTCGAAACTGGTTTATGCTACAATGCGCGCTTAGATTTTAAAAAATAGCTGAAATTCAGGGCTATTTTTTGATACCAAAGACGCATTTTTTGAAAGTACGGGTGCTTTGAAAAAAATGAAATACTAAAAAACCTTTGCGACTACGCGACTGTACGAGGGGGATGGGGTACTATTACAGTATTTAAGGTATATTATTCAAAGAATCTTCAACTCAACGCAACTCACAAATCGTACAACAAACGAGGAGACTTTTGAGAGCTCATTTGTAGGACCGTTGCAGATTTATTGGGATCCATTAATCTCGGATCGCGATAACTGCCAAAAGAGAAGTTCAATCTCAATTCGGGCACCAATTTGGATGGTAGAAGGTGGGCTTTCCATTATCATTATACTCCTTTATCATTTTCATTATCATGATTGTACTTAATTCTCGGGAGCTGATCAAAAAAGCGCTGGCCAAAATGAAAAAAAATGAAAAACTTTTGCGACTACGCGACTGTACGAGGGGGGTGGGGTACTATTACAGTACTATTACAGTACTATTACAGTACTATTACAGTACTATTACAGTATTTACGGTATTTATTTTTCAATCTATTTACTTTTTCTTATTCTATAAGAAAGAAAATAAGAAATTCGATGAGAAAAAAGAAAAGAAAGAACAAAGGATAAAGAAATATAGAAAAAAAACATTAAGTTTAAGAGATTAAATAGAAATATTCATTGAAACGCTTTATTACCTACTTCAGGCTTACCATTTTTGATGTTTAGATGTTCTACCAAACATGATTAAGCTCATTTTCCGCCTCTTCTTCAATCTGTACTTTTATTATCTCTCCAAAACGCCATCAAAACAATCAAATTGATCAAATTGAGCAACTGAAAGAATACTTGCAAGAAGAAATTCTTCGATATCAAATATTTTTGTAACTTCTTTGTGCGAGAGTCTCTAAAATTGGTTTTTGAATAAATTCTGGTTAAGTTACGCTTCTTTCGCTTTCCATGACCCTTTGTCTCTCGGCAAAATCACAATCAATGCACAGCTAACTCCAATGATACAGAAATCAATTATTACATAGATTCCTGAGAGTTATGATTCAATGTTATGATTCAATATGAATTCTTTACCTAGCACTGGAAACTGTGATGTCTTTGGGATTTGATTTGAGACTAAGTCGAGGAGAACGGTCATTGACATCATTGTGGTAAGGCCAAGAGTGAGCTGGGATGTAATTAAAACAGTGCCGAATCGAAAACGTTCATAGCTCCGTCAAATTTCTCACAATCCATAAAACCAAGTCGGTTTTATATGAAAAAATTCCTTGCGTTCTTGGCTATATGATGGGTGAAAAAGTTTAAAAAAAAGTTAATATTTCATAGATAAAATTAGCGTTCAAAATGTGTGTCAAGTGATACCCAATTGGTTACCTGAATACCTTTAGAGATTGGTTTACTTTAAAGAGTAATTGGTTAACTGAATATCTTTAGAGACTCAGAAAGACTTTCCAGCCAAACCAATCATTTCAAATGCTAGCTTAGCCATTCGGAATAGAGTAGGTAAAGATTAGGTTAACGGAACTGTTCCAGAAGCCTTTTTCTTGGTTTTCTTGGCTTATAGGCTTCAGGAAAAACCATGAACTAGCCAAAACAAGGTCAAGTCAAGCTTAAACAATACCTGAACTTAAACAACTTTGTTTTTCTGGCTTGCCAGTTCAAGCTTGGCTTGACTTATAACTTGGTCTAAACCTAAGCTTTGTTTGTCCTGACTTTGAGATCCTAGGATCCGGTTGGAATACTCCTGACTCAACCAATCCATAAAGACACTGATTCTTAACTCAACCTATTGTTACTCAACCTCAACCTCAACCTTAACTCAACCCTCAACTTAAGCAACAAGCTAACTGTACTAGTAGGGCAACAGGCCTTTTCTAAACCCTAGTTCTACACCCAAAACAATCAACTTCATCTACCTTTATCAGCTTCTCATCAACACTCTTCGATGTCCAAAATAGTCCGATAACTGAAAGAAATGTGAGCAAGAAAGCCGGCAGAACGATCACCCAAATGTAAAAATGAGGTTTCCTTCTGTAAACAAACGTGTAATAGACCTAAAAAAAATTTTTTCCAAAAAACTTATTGATTCAGCTACCCAATCATACGGAAAATCCGGGGTTAAAATCGTTTTCTTGGCCACCGAAATGTTGATGATCACCCATTCACCGTTTCCCTGAAGGGAAAATTAAAAAATATCAATCTTTTTCATACTTTGAATATCCTTTTATCAAAATCTCTCCAAATCGCTCCATTTTGAGTGACCATTGAATAGTTATAAGTATAAGTATCAAAGCCGACCACGCACGTTTGCACGTCAAATGGGAAGTAGGTGAGCTAAAAATGGGATTGGTGGTAAAACAAGTGGACAATAGCCGGATTTTCTTGAACTGATTGATCTTTTCTTAAAGATTATTACATTTAGTACCTGATCGAGGCAGTATTTGAGTACTATTTGAGTAATAAGAGTCCCCAATTCAGTTAACACACGACGATACGGCCGTGCTAATGATAATAATAATGTTTTGTTGTCAACTCAAGCTTTTAAGGACTTTTGTTATTTATTTCGCAGAAAGTTCTCGATAACTTTTTATTAGTTTTCGAGAGGAGATTCAGGGCTATCGAATGACTATAATAGTTTAGTTTATCTTTGAATTTACACCAAATTATCAGTAAAACAGTTATCGACTACAGAACTGTACTCGCAAAAGATTGTGGGACGCGCCCCGCCCCTTTTGCCATTGGCAATCCAACTTTGAGCTCAAATTTCTTGGCTTTCGGCTGTTCCATTTCAATATTTTTTGTACCAATGGACAGAGAAAGACTTGGCGCATTTAACGATACCAAGAATGCTTGAATTGGACAACCCAACACCAAGATATTTGAGCTCAAAGCTAGATTCCCACTGGCAAATGGGCGTAGCTTATCAGATATCCCACAATCAGTGGAAAATGTGGCCCTATGTGGCCCCTTTGCCATTGGCAACTTTGAGCTCTAATTTCTTGGTGTTTGGCGGTTCAATTTCAACAGTTATCTGTTAAGCCCCGCGTATAAAAGGTTATCTGTTAGGCTCCGCCCCTATTGCCATTGGCAATCCAACTTTGAGCTCAAATTTCTTGGCTTTCGGTTGTTCAATTTCAATAGTTTTTGTGCCAATGGACAGAGAAAGACTTGGCGCATTTAAAGATACCAAGAATGCTTAAATTGGACAGCCCAACACCAAGATATTTGAGCTCAAAGTTAGATTGCCAAAGGGGACCGGGCGCGGATCAAATGCCCCACAATCTTTTAGCTTTCTGTCACTTTTTCTAGACTTGGCGCATCGAACGATATTAAGAACATTTAAATTGAACAACTCAACACCGAGATATTTGAGCTCAAAGTTAGATTGCTAATGGCAAAGGGGCGGGCCTTATCAGATCTCTGATAACCCGCCAAAAATGCCGTCGTCGCCGTTGTTAAGCAAAAAATTGCTCAACCATTTGACCACAAAAACTCCATATTCTAGATTACCACGGTCACTCGATCTATTAGATCTTGAAAACATCAAAAATTGTTTTTTTGGCTAAAACTTGAAGTACTTTGAAGGATAGTAAAGCCCATTTTAAGCAAGAGTTGGCAAATTACTTAGAGATTCTTTATTTCTATTCAAATTACGCAAAATTCTACCTAGCGCAACTGATTCTGAGTCTTATAAAAATAAAATTGAATATTGAACATGAAGTGAAACGTTGAAAACGTTGAACTCACATCCATTGGGCAGGAGAGGCTCACGAATTGAGTGGAATCATAAAAAACCGCGCCCGAGCTGTCCACCTCGACTTGTTTCTGATACATTGGGATCACTTCTTTGATCTTTATTCTAAAACCAGTTCAAATTCAAATCTAAGTTCAAATTTAAGTTCAAAGATTTTCACTAACGCATCGCTGATACTATTCTCGGGCATCCAAACCGTGTCATATTGTAACCAAAGAGTTTTGATTCCACCAAAATCTTTCGGATCCCATGAAAGCCGAGGATCTTTCCAAGTCTGTAATAAAATTTTTGCATCATTGATGATTTTTCTAAAAGATTCTATCTTTTATAATCGGTTTTCTAATTTACAGCCAAATTTTGAGATCATTGGCTGAGCTTTTATCAAAAATTGGATTGATTCAATAAAACTAGTGGATTACGATAGTTTTATATTAGGTTGAAAATAATGCGAATTTTTAACTTGTGCTCTTGGGAAAGTAATGGCTGACAAACAGAGAAAACCGCGATAGTAACAGAGAAGAAGAGTGTTTTTGCTTACACAATCATAATATTATTCGAAAACATTTGTTCATTTGTTATCAAAAAATGACGGAACAAAAATTCCTTATTCGAGCTGCTTTTCTCTATGACTTTAAGCTTGGAAAATCTGCCCGTGAATCGCATAATTCTATTTCAAAGGCCTATGGCGAAGGTAATATTAGCGAAAGCCAATGTTATCGAGGGTTTGAGCGATTTCGAAATGGAAATGAGAGCCTAGAGGATGAGCATCACGAAGGACGTTCTCGAAAGCTGGATGAGTCTCAACTTTTGCAAATTATCGAAGAAGATCCGACTTGCATCACTCGGGAGTTGTCGGAAATGTTTAATGTTCATCATAGCACCATTGAAGAGCATTCACATTTGATTTGAAAGCGAAACAGATGTTGAAAATGGGTCCCACATGAACTGACCTTCAATCACAAAATTTCCCTTACTTGTTCAATTTTGATTCAAAAATCAAAAGCACATGATTTTTTGAAATCGATTGCTACTTCTGATGAAACGTGGATATTATATGATAACGTTAAGCGCAAGGCACCAATGGCCAATGGCCATGGCCATCACCAAAGCAAGTCCCGGTTGTCATGTCAAAACCTGGTCTGCATGGAAAGAAGTTGATGTTGTGCGTATGGTGGAACTATCGTGGATTGGTTTATTTTGAACTGCTCAAACCGGGTAAAACTGTCACATCTGAACTTTACAGTGAGCAGTTAGAGCGTGTGAATCAAGCTTTATCGAAATCTCGACATGACACTTCAAAAATTCGATTCTGCGTGATAATGCAAAACCGCAAGATGACCCTCCAACAAATCGAAGAGATGGGCTGAAAACTTCTACCTCACGCCCCATACAGCCCTGACTTGGCTCCATCAGACTCTTATTCAGGTCTCTAAAGCAGTTCATCCCCGATCAGCTGTTCAAGGATTTCCGGCAAGTCGAAAATGCGGTCACCAACTATTTTTTGGTCAAAAAGTCCCCAGTTCTTTGAAGATGGAATTATTGAATTGAGCAAAAAATGACATAATGTCCTAAATAATAATGGAGAATACCTTTTATATTAATCCTCTTTATTTATTGTTTTTTTTTCAGTAAAAATTCGCATTATTTTCCCGTCAACCTAATAGCTTAATGAAACTCACAAATCCGAACTCGAAAAGTTGCTGAACTTCCTGACTTTGCGCCACCTAAGAAAGATCATTAAGATGAAATTTCATAAAACTTACTAAATCAATCACTCGAACATATGATAAACTGATATTGAGAGCGAATCGTGGGACTATCTGAGCTAAAAGAAACTGTTAAATGTTTGGTTTTCGTTATCTTTTGTTCATAGATAAAGCTAACGTAATAAAGAAGTGAAGGAATTGACAAGAAAAGGTAGATTTCTGGAGAAGAGATTGAACCCTCGACCTTTTGCTTTTGCCGGGCTTTAACCTCAAATCACTGAGCTAGACATGTGCACTGGGTCCGTAGCAGTTGGTCCTATCTCGGTCCGGATTGAAACATCAGATCTTCGGCCTGATCTCGGTTCGGTCTGGTGGTCTGATTCTGATCTGGTGCCAGATCAGAATGTCTTATGTCAAAATAGACCTGGCACCATATCTCACCACATAAATTTGATAGACAGTTTGGCAATGTTTTCGAATCTAGATTTTGCTTTAGGGGTTACATTATCGACAATTTTTGGTCCGATCTTGGTCCGGTCCGATCCGGACTGAACCTCGAGCTTTTCGGTCTGATCTTGGTCCGGTCCGGTCTGGACCAAACCTCGAGCTTTTCGGTCTGCTCTTGGTCCGGCCCGGTCCGGACTGAACCTCGAGCTTTTCGGTCTGATCTTGGTCCGGTCCGGACCGAGACCGAGACCAAAAACCGGACCAAAAACCGGACCAAAAACCGGACCAAAAACCGGATCGAGTGCACATGTCTACACTAAGCTATCCGGTCCCTTAACTTGACAAGAGAAAGAAAGACAAGCGGGAAGAAAAGAAAAAAGAAAGAAGTTAAGCTAACCTGATACATTTTTTGGTTGCAGTGAATAGACGGGCGAGATCTGCTTTTTGTAGTTCCGCTTATTGAACAGCTCATCATATAAACGTTCGCTATTGCTGTAGAAATGGCCAAGTGCTGCTGGAAATAGAATTTCATCTATTTTTCAACTCTAATGCTCAAGAATTTCAGTTCAAAAACTGAAATTGGCTCATGTCCAGTGAAAAGATTTGACTTAACAGCACCAATCCAGTTTAGACTTGGGAAAATTCCAAGTCAAACCTAATTCCACCTAATTTCTCAGCCGTCTTGTCGATTGTTTTGAAATTTTGCTTACAAATAGAAATTGTCATTCTCTGTTTGTAGACAAAATTTCAGAGTAATCGTAGAAAAGACGGCTGAGAAAACGAAGCTGGAATTAGGTTGGAAACGAAGCTGGAATTAGGCTGGAAACGAAGCTGGAATTAGGTTGGAAACAAAGCTGGAATTAGGCTGGAAACGAAGCTGGAATTAGGCTGGAAACGAAGCTGGAATTAGGTTGGAAACAAAGCTGGAATTAGGCTGGAAACGAAGCTGGAATTAGGCTGGAAACAAAGCTTGAATTAGGCTGGAAACAAAGCTGGAATTAGGCTGGAAACGAAGCTGCAAAACGAAGCTGGAATTAGGTTCGGCTTGGAATTCACTCATGTCTAATCCAGTTATCGGCACAGTGACGTTACCTTAAACACTGTTGAGTTTAACTCTCGAATCCAGTTTAATTGAATTTTGGTTTTAAGTTAACGTTACTGACTTTACGAGCTAAATTGAATCGATACTGTTAAACCAAAAACATTATTGGCTATTAGCTAAAAGAAATCAACACTCGGCGATTGTCTAATTGTGCTTAAAATCAAAAACTGACAATTTCCGGTGATTTTTGTCCAGTTCGTTTCAACTTCAATGCAAAGAGATATCGAAATTAACAATATAGAGAAGAAAAATTGTAACAGCTGTCCAACTCTTAACATTTACAAGAATGATCGTTGAATTTTTTTCAGTTAAAAAACTGATTTCTTTTCCTTTCCAATCTCTTTTTTCAAATGTCAAACAGTCCTCAAAAGAACAGGCAATAGTGAAGTGAGAAGTTGAGAGATGTTTTCTTGACCTAAGCAAACACTTTGGATCTATTCCATAAATTCCACGAATTATTTGAATCGAAAACTCTTGTCAAGACCGTTCTCTAACTCTGAACTAGAGAAATGTTCGAGAATGGTGATGAAAAGAGAAAAATGAGTGGGTGATACAGATGAAGAAACATGTGATGGAGATTGTGAATGAGTTCTGTGCAGCTGGCTAATAAGTCTTGTCGCGCTGGCTAATAAGCATCGTCGCGTGCTTGAACGTGTGTTACTCCTCGAGCTTGGCTCCAAATCTCATGAGTAACCAAAACCAGAGGCGTCGCAGCAAAAAAAATTGAGCAAAAAGCAAAATTTTTGGCGGCAAGAGGAGTCGACCTTTCTCTTCCGTTTGTTTGAGAGACGCAAGCGTTAACCACTCGCCTATACTCTAGTAGATGGCGCAGTCCAAGTGCTCTTATCTCTAACCCACATGACTCTGGTTCGACTCTGGCCCGCATCGGCACTTCTTGTTTTTCAAAATTTAAAAACAAGTTGCACAACTAGATGAAATTCTAAGCCAAACTAACTATAAATCATTTGAAACAGTCCTTTGGGGGGAGCGAGCACAGACAGACAGACAGATACAGCTTTTTATAGATGTTACGTCCGTTCTAGACTGATTCTGGGTCGCACGTCCGATCTAGAGTGAAGTGAGGTTCAACGTTTGATCTAGAATCAAGCCGATCACTCTAAATCTGAATCTGGATCGGATGTGTCTGGTTTAGAGTGGTCGACTTGGTTCTAGATCGGACGTTTGACCTCACTTCACTCTAGATCGGACGTCCGATCTAGAATCAGTCTAGATCCGAAGGGATTTCTAGATCCGAAGGGATTTCTAGATCCGAAGGGATTTCAGGATTAACATATAAAATAAATATTGCCAAGAATTTAGAAAATCTAAATATTCTCATGACTTTTCGAGACAATGACTGTGAAAGATTTTATTGCGATTCTTGTGCCCTTTAAAAAACGCACTTTGCCCGAGGTTATTGCGCTTAGCAATAACCTCGAGCAATACCTTTCTCATACAAGTCGAATTTTCATTTACTTTCATTTCATTACATTTCATTAGTTTCATTTCATTTACTCAGCTAAATTTTTCAATTTTTCAATTCAATTTCAATTTCAATTCAATTTCAATGCTCCAAAATGTTCCCCTAAATGTAATTTGAAATTTGGCTGAAAGTAACGCCTTTAAAAGTACGATTTAAAAAAATCGTAATGTCGTTTGTTTTCTCTCATTTTTTTCTCTCTTAAAAAAAAGCATAAAAAACAGGTGTCTAAAAGCCAAAATATGAATTTACACATTCAGTTTTTAACTTTTAAAAAATTGATTCTAAAATTGGAAGCACTTTTTTGAGGTTTTTGTGAGAAGAGTTTTTACAGTTCGTTTCTCATTCCATTTTTGTGTCCTTCTTGAGCAATTTCTTTATCAAAATCTTTATCAAAAACCTTTATCTACATCTTTAAACGACCGTCTTATTTCCAGTAATTGAAACGGTTCCCTTTTGATGATCATCGAGTTTTTCGTGGAAGATTAAATCCGGGCGAACATGTGCAACAACTTCGGGATGGATCTAAATAATTCAAATTTTTGTATAGCCTGATGTTTTTACTTCAACATCCTCATAAATAATCTCAACCATCGCCGAAACGGTCGTTGTTGTAGTGGTGGTGGTGATCGGAATGGTTTGACTATCAGGAACAGCTCCAAGTTGAGCTGAAATCAAAAGATTTTAGTCTAGTTTCACTGATTTGATTCTAAACAAGCATTATTTGGGTTTTAACTGGATTTTCAAATGTCAACAACTAACCCAAAAAGCCGAGAATCCCAACTGGTGGCAGTAATGGAGTTGTAGTTGGCTGAGGAGTCGTCGCGATTATTGTATTATTTGCCAATTGTTCTTCATCGTCGTCATCAAGTTTGGGCAACTGAAAGCTTTGTTTATTTTTATAGTTTAAAACATACATTGCTATCATTTTGAAGATAGATCGATGGTGGTTGCAGAACTCCATTGACAATGGTGTGAGGTACAAGAAAAGCTTTCACTGGTTGTTCTTCTTTTGTTGGTTCAGTGGTGGCAGGGACAACTGTGGGAGAAGCCTAGATATGTTTAAGCAAGCTCTTTGAAATGCAAGTTTTAGAAATTCCCGATTGTTTTTGAATTAGATTATGGGACATTTGATACGCGCCCGCTTCTCTGCCATTAGCAAACTAACTTTGAGCACAAATATCTTCGTGTTGGACTGTCCTATTTAAATCTTCTTGGTATCATTCGATGCGCCAAGTCTTTCTCTATCGATTGATATAAAAACTTTTGAAATTGAACAACCCAAAGCCAAGAAATTTGAGCTTAACGCTAGATTGCCAATGGCAAAGACCAATGGTAATGGCCAATGGCAAAGGCCAATGGCTCAAATGGCAAAGGGGCGGGGCGCGTATAAAAGGCTATCTATTAAGCCCCGCCCCTTTTGCCATTGGCACCCAAACTTTGAGCTCAAATTTCTTGGCTTTGGGCTGTTCAATTTAAATAGTTTTTGTACCAATGGACAGAGAAAGACTTGGCACATCGAATGATACCAAGAAGATTTAAATCGGACAGCCCAACACCAAGATATTTGAGCTTAAAGTTAGATTGCTAATGGCAAAAGGGTGGGCCTTATCAAATTTCCGATAACCCTTGAATTATAACCAACCAAAACATTTTCTTCTTGTTTCTCTGGAACAGCTGTGGTCACTGGTGGCTCGGTTGACTTTGGTGGGACACTTTTCTCATCAAAGATCGTAATTGTGGGGGTCGGTGGAGTTGTTGGTGCCACCAGACTTGCCGGAGCCAGAGCAGTTGTTGGCTCTGACTCTGTTGTACTCGGTTCCTTGGTAGGCATTGTAGTCACTGGTACAAAAAGAGACTTTTTGATGTCTGGGATTCTCGGTGGAAGTGTTGTGCTGCTCGGTTTTATTGTTGTTGATTCAAAATCGCTTGCATTCAGTCCAAGAGTGCCCAACTGGTCTTCAACTGTTCTAAAATTTTCTCATTTTACATTGGAATTGAAAATTTACCCGATCCTGGATATTTTGGAGTTAGATTTAGTGAGAGAAATCGCTAAAATCGGTTAAACGTTTAATTCTAAAGAAGCAATTATTTATAAGATTTTTAACGATTGATAATTGTAGGCAATAAGGCCAGGTCCAGCCCAGATCCAGGCCAGGTCCAGCCCAGATCCAGGCCAGGTCCAGTCCAGGCCAAGTCCAGGCCAGGTCAGACCAGATCCAAGCCAGATCCAGGCCAGGTCCAGGCCAGGCCCAGGCCAGGTCCAGCCCGGGTCCAGGCGAAGTCCAGGCTAGGTCCAGGCCAGGTCCAGGCGAAGTCCAGGCTAGGTCCAGGCCAGATCCAGGCCAGGTCCAGGCGAAGTCCAGGCTAGATCCAGGCCAGATCCAGGCCAGGTTCAGGCCAGATCCAGGCTAGATCCAGGCCAGCTCCGGGTCAGGTCCAGGTCAGGTCCAAGCCAGATCCAGGCCAGATCCAGGCCAGGTCCAGTCCAGGCCAAGTCCAGGCCAGGTCCAGACCAGATCCAAGCCAGATCCAGGCCAGGTCCAGGCCAGGCCCAGGCCAGGTCCAGCCCGGGTCCAGGCCAGGTCCAGGCCAGGTCCAGACCTTAACCTTAATCTTAATGTTCCAGATCTTAATGAATTCACTCAAACAATCCACAATCTGGCAATTCAGCAGAAGAGTCTTGTTGATTATTGTGAATGAAAAGTTTCTTTCAACAATAAACAACTCTGTACCGGTTCTGCATTCAAAACTCACCCAATTTCCGGTTCGTTTTGATCTGCTGAAACCTGACAAAGTAGACAAAATATCAAAAAGGCAAAACAAATCATTTTGGTTTGAAAAATATAAATCCAAAATAGAGACTAAACGACGAAATTTGCCCAATCCATACAACCATTTTGTTGGCAATTTTCGGAGATTTTCCCGGTTCCTTTTTTCTCTTTTCTCTTTTCAATGGCGCGAGTGGAACGCTGAGATGATTGCAGAAAAACACGTAGAAAGTTAAAAATTGTCATTTGATCCTAAAGAAAAAGGAACTGTTTCTCTTTTTTTCTCTCAGAAACATCAAAGAACCTGTAATTTGCTAGTTCCTTGTGAGATTTTTAGTTTATTTGCCTGATTTTCTTTATTAGACCTTGTTCTTCACAAGCAATTATTTTCTAAACCTGTTAAAACTACTTTAATCTTACTTCTAGTTCTTGTAACTTTCATTAGCTTTTTGTTGTTGTCTGTTATCAAATTGTAGTTGAACTTGAGCCAAAATTGATTTCAAAGCATTTATATAGACGAATGACAGTATTCACAAACAATTCGATTCTTTTGTGTTGCTTACAATCAACCGAGCAAATCACCGAGACCCCTGGAAGTGAATTGGTTTTGATTAACTGAGAATTGACTCACAATCCACCAGTGAGTCCACCAACTCCACCAAGACCTCCAAGAGCATCAAGACCGGGAAGGACACTGAAATTGAATGAATGGGATATTTTGAGATCAAGACTTACACAAGAAGTTTCCCAAGAAGTGGCTCAACCAATCCCTCGAGAAGTTGACACACCAGATTCTGGATTGTTTGAAGGAGACCGATTTGTTGGACGAGTGAATTATCAACCAAAGACCAAACGGGTGAAAGAACTCCAGTCAAAATTTGAAGACAGAGACCCGAGTAGAGATTCGATTCACCGGTCAACACTCCAGAGAGAAGATATTCGACATTGGCCTCCAATTCCAATCCACATGGACCCATTGGAACGAGAACGACTGAGGGAAGTTCCAGACCGCCCTAGAATGGAGTGGATTGAATGTTGAGTCATGAATTGAATACCTTAAGGATCTCCAAGTGTTGAAGAGTGTATTTGTTGAATTTCGTTCCATTCACAGTCTCCACAGTCTTGGTCAAGATGTTCACATGGCTGACTAAAGGCAAAAATAGCTAATAAAGTTTAAGTAGGACTATCCAGTCTTGGCCAGCAACCAATGTAATATTGAAACTTACTGAAGTCCAAGATACAATCTAATACTTGAAGATTTGGAATGAGTGGGCATTTGCAAACTCCATTCACATTTGGAATTGGAATCTTCGGGGTAACAGTTGGAAGAGACACTGGGGGAAGGCTTACAGCCAATAGAGGAGTGGCCAAGAAAGCGATGATGAAGATTGAGGTGGACATTTTCTCGGAATGAGAAATGAGGATAAAGAATTGGGTTGGGAGATGATGATTTAACTGTCGAACACTCAGCTTTTATACTAATCATTCCCAATCATAATATTTTCCACATTCAATCTTCGGTGGTCAAAAATATTCAAAATATTTTCACCTCTTGCCAAAATAATCTGTCAAAAACTAGCAAAAAGGCATTTTTTTTTATTAAAATCCTGTCTGATCTAGGCTTGTTTTGATATAAAAATTTCCATATTGGTCACGAAGTATTGTTGAACGGAGAAAGAGAACAAAAGAGAACACGGGGAAAGTGTGTTGATTGCTCATCTAACTTGTGTTCTCTAGGGCTATTTTTAGCATTTTTGCGTAAATCAAAAGAATGAATAGTATGAAGTGAAATGATCAACAGTAGAATTGATGTACTTGACCATTTTGCATGACTGCAGAACAAGCTTGAACTAGACTGATCAACTCCAACAACTGAGTGAACTGAACTCGCTGAATTGAGTTACTATCAAACTCTTGACTCATTACCGTATTCCCACTAAGAAGTATCTAGATTTCACGACTGAATATCTTTATTTTATAGTAAGGCGTTTAAAAGATGTCCAGGCTACAGATACTTTTGTTCGTCCTACTGTAGTGTGACTTGCGCTTTACCATATTGTGATCAAATTCTAAACAATTGATATAGTAGTGGGCCTAAGCCTTTTACTCAAGAAGCCATTTGAAAACTAAATTTGATTTATTTCAGAGAAAACCCAAGTACTTCCCCGATTCTCCAGTGAAAAAGCTCGATGAGGGAAAAAGAGAGAAAACGAAGCGAAAATTGGACGATCAAGAGGAGAACAAGGAGCCCATGAAGAGGAAGAAGCACGAAAAACCACACATCGTTTCCAATTCCACTCAAGAGTTTTATGATCAAAATTTGGTAAGTCAAAGGGCAAGCCTCAAAAGAAAGTAATGTGATGTGATGTGATGAAATCTTGCTAGATAATTACTATTAGGTCCTTGCAAAAGAAACTGCGGATTATAACCAACATTTGAATAACCCAAAAATCAATAAGAAAATAACTTTATTCCAAAAGATATTTGCCATTATTATCAACTATGTTCTTACATTTTTTTGTGTAGACTTCGGATATCTGATTCGAAAAATTCGGGATCCCGCGATGCAAAGTAGTCTTGCACCCAAATTTCGACTTCTTCAAGATTGTTAAATCTTAGCTTTGCAAGAGAGTGTTGCATAGACAGGAACGAGTGGTAATCTGAGGGAGCGATATCAGGCGAATAGAGCGGATGAGGCACAAGTTTCCAGCCTAATTCTTCTATGGTGTTTTGAGCCAAGTTTGATGTGTGTACCCGGAAATTGTGAGCGAGTAAATGGATTGTCCTTGAATCCAAGGATTAACACCTCTTTCTCGTAGAATTTCATCAACTTTCTTCAGCTGTTCGGCGTAGCTTTGAGAAGTTATAGGTTTTGAAGATTTTTGTAGTTTAAAATAAACGATTCCTTTCATATTCCAAAAGACCGACAGCATAACTTTCTTTCCGTGAAGTTCTGGATGTGATGTCGGAATCGGCCTTTCTCCTTTGTTCAACCATTGTCTTTTGCGTGTTGAATTATTGAAATATATCCATTTTTCGTCCATCGTCAACATGCTTTCAAAAAAGCACCGCCCGTAGCCTTTTTCAATAAAATCCGAGACAATAAAACTCGATTAGCTTTGTTTTCAGGGGACAATTCATGTGGGACCCATTGGCCACAACGATTCCTTTTTCCAATAAGCGCAAGGTGTCGAGAAATTGTGCTCGAATCACATTTAAAGTATTCGGCTAATTCGGGCAAAGTTTGAGTTGGATCCAACTCGACAATCCCCAGCGACTCCGCAGTATCGAAGACAACTGGATAATATCCATCTTCCAAGCTGCCATCCCCTTCACGAAAACGTCGAAGCCATTCCTAGCAAGTCCTTTTACTCAAAATGTTTCCTCCGAATGTTTCACAAAGATTCCGGTGCGACTTTCATGCTGATTTCTTCATTTTGAGGTCATAGAGAATGCATGCTCGCAACATGAGTTTTTGATCCGTCATCTTCTACCGAAGATTATGTAATATTTAATGATAGCAATAGTTGCGAAAATAATTAAAATGAATAAACAATAATAATACAATATAATACAATTTAAACCGGACCATCACACTTTCAAATAAAAAAAACTTTGGTCCTCGGAAGTAATCCGCATTTTCTTTTGCAAGTCCCTAATAGTTTATAATTTTGTTGTAACGGGTCGATTATTGGGAAATCCAGCCAACTCTTGGGTATTTTCATCATTGAAAGATTACTATAAGTGCTACTGTAGTTTTGCAATAACCAATGTTCATTTCTAGAAACTCGTCGAAGGACATGTTGCCGAAATTGTTAAACCTTTCTTTCGAGAGGGACGCTTGTCGAAGGATGACTATAAGAAATTAATGAAAAAAACAGTGAAATCGTTGATGAAAGATCGAGTTCTTGATCCACTAATCATTCACGAGAAAGCAAATCGAGAAGTGATCAGTTTTATGACAAATTGAATGAATCATTTGATTGTTTTACCTTATTTTTGTTAATTTTTGGTTTTTCACTTAAATCTGCCGTTTTTGGAATCAAGGTAAAAGTAAATTTTTCATTTACTTTTCAAAATCAGAGTCAATCTCTGTATCAAAACCAGTTTCATAAGTCTTTCTGTGATATTTCATCTAAGGAAATTTAAAGTATTTCAATAAAGTTATTTGATTATTCTTTTGCATTCATAAGTTCAGTCCTTCAAGATGTTTTCCATCATATAAAAATTAAATTAGCAATTTTGCAATTAGCATTTTTGCATCAATTAACACGAAACCCTGGGAAAATGTACAAAAAACATTGGTAAGTGAGTTGGATTCACTCAGTTGATGATTCACTCATTTGATGATTCACTCATCCAACAAATTGTTCTCCTCCAAACAGTCCAGAATTTGGTGTGTCAACTCCTTGAGAGACGGATTGAGCCACTTCTTGGGAAACGTCTTGTGTAAGTCTTAATTCCGAAACCCATTCATCTCATTTCAGTTTCCTTCCCGGCCCTGATGCTCTTGGTGGCTTGACTGGAGGTCTTGGTGAAGTTAGTGGACTGGTGGTTTGAGTGGATTGACTGGCGAACTTGGGGTTCTTACTGGAGTTGGTCGACTCAAGAATGGATTGTGAGTCTATTCTTAATTGATGATCAAAGCCAAATCAATCCATTTCAATCCATTTCAATCCATTCAATTCAACCAATTCCAGGGGTAGCTTGCTCGGAGGCTTTTAAAATCAAGGATCAATCAATTTGTCTTTGAAATTGTCTTTAATTATTCTGTATTAATTATTTACATTCAATCTTTAAATATCTTTGCAAATTAAATAGGATAAATGATTTATTTACAAATATTATACAAGTCATGAATCAATCTTTTGAGATCTCTTTCTTTGCATATGAATCGACTTTGCTTCTCGGGATACTGCAGCTTGTTTCTTGATGAGAACTGATTTTCGTTTGATCACTCAATACACAAATGTTTACAAAAGCCCAACGGTCCTATAGATTCTACAATACTCCTTAGGACCATAAAAAGTTTAGTTCTAAAAGTGAACAACTCTTTTCAAATTAAAATTAGCATTTGCCCCCCTCAAAAGCTTCCCAATCGCTATTCGATTTAATTTAGCAGAACCAGCACCATCTTCATCTCATTCAAAACATGATGGCCCACCAATTGCTGTTGTTCCTCCATTGTTGAATAAATTGCTTCACGCCGAAGATTTTCTAGTTGATATTCAGCCTGGATTGGTGAGTTTACAATGGGTTCTGTTTGTGTCTAGTTATTCTGTTTGTTCTGTAGCTAGACTTGAGCAAAAACTGATTGCAAATCATTTATATAGACGAATGACAGTATTCACAAACAATTCGATTCTTTTGTGTTGCTTACAATCAACCGAGCAAATCACCGAGACCCCTGGAAGTGAATTGGTTTTGATTAACTGAGAATTGACTCACAATCCACCAGTGAGTCCACCAACTCCACCAAGACCTCCAAGAGCATCAAGACCGGGAAGGACACTGAAATTGAATGAATGGGATATTTTGAGATCAAGACTTACACAAGAAGTTTCCCAAGAAGTGGCTCAACCAATCCCTCGAGAAGTTGACACACCAAATTCTGGATTGTTTGAAGGAGACCGATTTGTTGGACGAGTGAATTATCAACCAAAGACCAAACGGGTGAAAGAACTCCAGTCAAAATTTGAAGACAGAGACCCGAGTAGAGATTCGATTCACCGGTCAACACTCCAGAGAGAAGATATTCGACATTGGCCTCCAATTCCAATCCACATGGACCCATTGGAACGAGAACGACTGAGGGAAGTTCCAGACCGCCCTAGAATGGAGTGGATTGAATGTTGAGTCATGAATTGAATACCTTAAGGATCTCCAAGTGTTGAAGAGTGTATTTGTTGAATTTCGTTCCATTCACAGTCTCCACAGTCTTGGTCAAGATGTTCACGTGGCTGACTAAAGACAAAAGCGTCAATAAAGTTTAGGACTATCCAGTCTTGCCTGGCGAGTAATTATTGTAATTCTTAGTCATATTGAAACTTACTGAAGTCTAAGATACAATCTAATACTTGAAGATTTGGAATGAGTGGGCATTTGCAAACTCCATTCACATTTGGAATTGGAATCTTCGGGGTAACAGTTGGAAGAGACACTGGGGGAAGGCTTACAGCCAATAGAGGAGTGGCCAAGAAAGCGATGATGAAGATTGAGGTGGACATTTTCTCGGAATGAGAAATGAGGATAAAGAATTGGGTTGGGAGATGATGATTTAACTGTCGAACACTCAGCTTTTATACTAATCATTCCCAATCATAATATTTTCCACATTCAATCTTCGGTGGTCAAAAATATTCAAAATATTTTCACCTCCCATTGTCTCTTGTCAAAATAATCTGTCAAAAACTAGCAAAAAGGCATTTTTTTTATTAAAATCCTGTCTGGTCTAGGCTTGTTTTGATATAAAAATTTCCATATTGGTCACGAAGTATTGTTGAACGGACAAACGGAACAAAAGAGAACACGGGGAAAGTGTGTTGATTGCTCATCTAACTTGTGTTCTCTAGGGCTATTTTTGGAATTTTTTATGAACCAAAAGAAAAAGTATGAAGTGAGATGATCAACAGTAGAATTCATTTTTCAGTTTTGCATAACTGCAACAAGGTTGAACTTGAATGCTTAGCTCCACAAAGCTTTAGATATTGTCAAAATCTGCCTCATTGGCGTGAAGCAAAGTTTGGAGGAGATCTTCCTCTTCCTCTTTCCTATTCAAATTTGGATCAACCAGGTCGTCAAATTCATATCCTTCAGTCGGAGATTCATATTGATATTGGCAGAGACGCATATTCACAAGTTCCATTCACATCCGGAATTGAGGCCTTTGGAAGTTGAAAGAGAGACTGGGGGAAGACTTCCAATCAAAAGAGGAGCCATTTTAGGATGCCTGTTGATGATGTAGTCACAAAGAAGCAAAGCTTTTCTCCAAAACAAAGCTTCTCTCCCAGGCAAAGCTTCTCTCCAAACCAAAGTTTCTCTCCAAAACAAAGCTTCTCTCCAAAACAAAGCTTCTCTCCCAGGCAAAGCTTCTCTCCAAACCAAAGCTTCTCTCCCAGGCAAAGCTTCTCTCCAAACCAAAGCTTCTCTCCCAGGCAAAGCTTCTCTCCAAACCAAAGCTTCTCTCCCAGGCAAAGCTTCTCTCTAAAGCAAAGCTTCTCTCCAAAACAAAGCTTCTCTCTAAAGCAAAGCTTCTCTCCAAACCAAAGCTTCTCTCCCAGGCAAAGCTTCTCTCTAAAGCAAAGCTTCTCTCCAAAGCAAAGCTTCTCTCCAAAGCAAAGCAAAGTTTTTTCATTTTTTGTAAAAAACTAATTTGGCAAATAGGTACAGTAGGCTCCACCTTTTCTCCAAAGTGAATAAACCCGGCTATATTTTGAATTAAACCCCCGCCAAATGACATAAAATTAACGGAACTCTGATCAATTTGACTGAATGAAAAATAGCGAAAGTTTAATCCCATAGTACCGGCAAAGAAATGAGAAGTCAAGGGGAATTGAACCCTCAATCTTTTGCTTCTAGACGCTCTATCCACTGAGCTGAAGGCGCTTTTCTTAATTGTGAGAAAGAGGGCAAAAGAAGAGAGAAAGAGAAGATCTTTCTCTATCTTCCAAGCTATCCTTCAAGTCCTTATCTAAAAGAATCAGTGTAGCAAACTAATTTGATACTAGGGTAAACTTATAATTACACTATCAGACTTATTTGTTAAAGTTTCTTAATCAATTTTTATTTATAACTTTTGATTATGGTCAAATTTGATCTAAAGATGTGTAGGCGGGAGGAATTTTGCTTTTTTAGCATTCAAATGTTGAATGTTTACTTTTTGAGGCGATTTGTGTTTCCCCTTTTGCGAAAAAAAAACCCAATTTTATACATTTTCATTCAGTTTATCTCCAAAATGATAGTAAAACAATGAAATTAATCAAATTAAAAAGTTGAAAAGTGATTTGAAAGAAGAAATTCTTTGAGCAAACAATGTAGAGCATTTGGGTGCGATAGGAGCTAGAAAATTTGCTGATGATTTGTTAAATCTTAATCTATTTGATCTTTGATTTTAAAAGTTTACCAAAATTTCTCGGGTTCTACTGCACTTTGTGGTAAGATGACTACCATCACACAGCCGATAGCGATCAAAAGCACATCGATAATGACAAAAATGCCTAAAAGTGAAAGATTTTCAGCTCTTCTGGGTTGGTGAATTGAAAACTGCGCGCTATTGTCATATGTGACAGTTTTAGCACTTTCTTCAAAAGAAACCTATTTTGGTGTCAATAGAAAAGTTGTAGAGAATCAAAAATTAAGCTTATATCCAAATTTCCAAGAAGATACACTTTGTAGTTTCGCTTAAAATTTGTTTGCTCTGTGTGCTCTTTGTGCGGCCGTGTAATCGCTCGTCGTCTGGCGCAGGGGTTTTACATAACCCCCTTCCCTACGCGCTCTCCAATCTCTTCTGGCCGTTTCCAAATCTTCAAATTCGACATTAACTTCTCCGCAAATCAAGGCTAATCTCAATCTATTGGGTTGGTGAATCGAAAAACCGCCGGCTATTGTCATATGTCCCAGTTTGAGCACTTTCTTGAAAAGAAACCCATTTTGGTGTCAATGGAAAAGTTGTAGAGAATCAAAAATTAAGCTTATATCCAAATTTTCAGAACGATTCAAAAACTGGTTCTCAAGAAATGCCAAATTTACGAATTTTCATAAAACTTGCATTTTAAGCGAAACTACTAAATGTTTCTTTTTGGAAATTTGCCTATAAGCCTAATTTTTGGTTCTCTACAACTTTTCTATTGACACCAAAATGGGTTTCTTTTGAAGAAAGTGCTCAAACTGAGACATCGGACATCTCCAGTCCTCCATTTTTGAGTCTAACACTTGTCTCACACACAAACCAAGATCCTACTACGAAAGAGGAATCCGCAAATTGCCTGTAAAATGGGCAGAAGTCGTCAATAATAGTGGAAATTATTTGGAATGGAATTGATGGTTTTATGTTGAATAAATTTTAGTTTAAAGTTTCGCAGTTTTCAATTCACCAACCCAATAATTTTAAAGACGCGAGTAATGCAATGTTTTAAGCAACTTTTGTCACTCTCTCTGTTCAGCAAAAAGCCTACGACACTCGGAATTCCCAAACCGTCTCCGATCTAAAGAGTTTTATGGGGTTTTTGCGTCATTGATGGGCTTAGGTTTTGGAATTTTTACGTTTTGGATTGATTTATTTAGGGAAAATACAGAAATTCTGAGAATTTTGGACTATTTTATCCTTCTTCACTTTTAAATAAATCCAAAAATCACCAAAAATCAAAAAAAAACACCTGGTTTAGTTACCCAAGTTTAAGGTGATTTCAAAAGTTGAATTTCTTCGTTGTTTTGCAATAGAATTACTCTAAATTTTTGCAGTAACTAGCACTACGCATACTACATACGATATTGAAAAAGCAAAAAGCTTTCATGGCTAACAATAGATTTTACACAAAAATTTTCCAGCGCTTTATTCTCAGCCAATTTCACCAAAAAAAATTAGCTCAAACTTTGTTTTTGTTTTACGTTATTTGTTTTCTCTGGGGCTTGGACTTAGTGCAAATGCTAGCGATTAGCGCCTTACACTAAGTCTATTTAGGTTTCGGTTAAACCCCCATTTTGGCTTTCTGGCTTAAGTTAGGCTTAGGCTAGTGATCCAATGCTGTAAAGCTGTTTGATCTTATAATATGCTTGGTACTTATACTTCAAAAAATGAAAGAAATTGACCTTAAATTTGAGTCGAAAGTCTAAAAGTCGCGTTGAAGTTGGAGTTGAAAGTCGCGGGCATTTCATATCTTTCAATCAAATAGATCTAGAACTCCTACAGGGTGCGTCATAATTACAACAAGAGTTCAAAGACCGTTTTCCAAACAGCTTTCTTATTTTTTTTGCCCCCTTTTTTGTTGTTTTGCGTTCTATCTTCTTTATTCTTGCCTAATTGCCTCCCGCTCACACGAAGAAGACGGTTCAGGACTGGTGTGTGGCCAACTTTCCCTCAGTGATCACCAAGGATGAATGGCCTCCAAACTCACCGGATCTCAATGTGATGGACTTTTCCATTTGGGCAATCTTAGAGGCTAATGTCTGCTCTTTGACCTTGAAGAAGTCTTTGACCAAAGTCAAAACCAAAGGATGGAAGGCGACTCCTCAAGATGACATTCGGGCCGCAGTGGAGGCATATCCGAACCGATTAAGGGCTGTTATCAAGGCTGTTATCAAGGCAAAAGGCGATCATATCGAATGATCTCTTGTTTCCTTATTTGTTACTGTTAAATAAAGCTATTTCTGTTTAAAAATCTTCTTCCAGTGAAACTTCTTGGTGTGCAATGCCTTGAGTATCTTGTTGCAATAATTATGACGCACCCTGTAGAACCGATTTTGCAGTCCAAGATTGGGATAGAGTCAGACTGGATTTGGTTGTTTTAGGTTTTTGGACTAGTTTCTGGGTTTTGCCTGGCTTTGCGTTGGGTGACTGGCTTGACTTTATATACTACAAGCCTACAGCTTTATATACTACAAGCCTTTTCGAACCCACCAAGCAATGGAAAGGTTGATGTTTTTGGAATCTGCTGTGAAACCATATCAAGAAGAACGGTCATCGACATCATTGTGGTTAAACCAAGAGTCAGCTAAGTTATTTTGTATTTTTGAATTTATTGATCGTTACCTTGATCAATTTATCATCGGGTCCATTCGATTTCCAGAACATTCCACAAATCGAGAGTAGAGTCAGTAAAAAGGTTGGCAACGCGATTACGTAAATGTAAAAATGGGGTTTTCTCTTGTAGGAGAAATTGAAAGTCAACTTAAAATTGAATCAAAATCAAATCAAAGCAACTTATCAAAGCAATCCATCACTAAAAACTCACATATTGATATGAGAAATCGACTCCCTTATAGAATTCTTCGTTAACAGTGATGTTAGTGATTGTCCATTCGCCGTTTCCCTAAAATTTGATTGTTTACAGCTACTCAAGTTCTTAACTTGTTTAACGGTTGGATCCAAGTCTCGAGAAATCGTTCCATGCATTGTCACGTAATTGTAATCAAAAGTGTAGACGACGAAACCAACTCGACACAATTGTTCATCAAAAGGAAATGTTGCTAGCTAAATAATGATAGCATTTGCATTAAATTGCTAAAAAAAGTGAAAAGGTATCTATTATAGATGTACTCACATCCATTGGACAGGCGAATATTGTCATTTGTGTCGTGTCATAGTAAAGAGTTCCATCCGATTTTAATAGCACTTGTTTCTGATATAGAGGGACAACTTCGGTGATTGATTCTCTGTAAAAGAAT